AGGCATGGACTCCACTTGACCTCTGAGGGAATGCTGTGTTTTCTGGCTTGTAAGTGCTTTAAGTTGCAAGGTTGGGCCTCCAGGGATTGAACTTGTTTTTCTTGCACATCCAACAGTTTATCAATTGGATTGAGATCTGGAGTATTTGGAGGCCAAGTCAACAGCTCAAACTCATTGTTGTGTTTCTCAAACCATTCTTGAATTCATCAGGTCAGGCCACCTTTTCTCATTGCCCTGTGGTCCAGTTCTGATGCTCACATGCCCATTGTAGGTGCTTTTGGCCATGGACATGGGTCAGCATGAGCACCATACACAACAAACTACAATGCACTGTGTGTTCTGACACCATTCTACCAGAACCAGCATTAACTTTTTGAGCAATTTGAGCTACAGTAGCTCTTCTATTGGATTGGACTACACAGGCCAGCCTTCCCTCTCTACCTCCATTAATGAACCTTGACTGCCCATGACCCTGTCGCCAGTTTGCTGGTTTTCCTTCCTTGGACCACGTCTGGTCGATCGTGACCACAGCAGGCTGGGAACATCCCACAAGAGCTGCAGTTTTGCAGTTGCTCTTGCTCATCTCGTCGTCTAGCCATTATAATTTGGCCCTTGTCAAAGTCGCTGAAATACTTACGCTTCCCTACTTTTTCTGCTTTCTACACACCAGCTTCAGAGACAACATGTTCACTTGCCACCGAATATATCCCTCCTACTTTCAGATGCCTTTTTAATGATATGATCAATGATTCACTTTACCTGTCAGTGGTCATAAAGTTATGGCTGATCAGTGTATATTTTACATTGGAGAACAGTAGGCAATCCATCCTGCCCAGCCTTCTTTTAAAACATCTTTGGTGTCCTGTCCTTTCTGCAGTTGTTCTTGTAGTGATTGGCCTAGTGATGGAAACAATTTTGTCTGGGATGACCTCCTCTGAGGAATGGTAGGGGTTGTGGCAGCCATCCTCTGTGTTCTGTTCAGACAATACTTTTTTATAGGCTTGTTTGTAATCTGTCAGAATTAGCAGCTGTTGTCAGTTTTGCCTTTAAGCTATCCTGCTGCCACCTCATTATAGACAGAAGCAGTGATAAGTTCAGCCCTGCATACCTTGCACACATAGTAACAGATTTATAGAGTCGCAGAACTTGGTGTGTGACAGATGTGTGCGTTTCATGTGACAAGGCTGATCTTTACTTAATATTTCAGGGTGTGGTGAATCCACACAACACAGGCAGAGTTTGGTCTTCTTTTAATCACTGTTTTGCAATCTGTTTAAAATGTTTTTATTTAATTATCTGTAAAAGTTTGTTTTAAGCATGTAATATAGCCACGCTTTTTTAATATACGATTACATTTTAGTACTAGGATTGTCGTTTGAGTATATTTTATAGTCTAGTCTGGCTATTTTCAAGCAGGGCCCCTTCAGAGGTTGTTAGGGGTTCTTGTGGCTGGGTTACCTCCAAACTCATGGTGCCTGCATAGTTCTGAGTCCAGCACTTCTTGGAAGCAGGGCCAGATTTAGAAGGGGGCAAAAGGGACAACTGCCCTGGGCCCCCCTCTATATAAAAGAATATAAAACAATGTTAAAAATTATATAAAATATATATTTTTTAAAATACCGGTATGTATTAAATTACTTTCTTTTATTAAATATATCTTGGTGAGTAATATTTTTCTGGCCATTATCTGTAAAAGCTTTTACTCTGGACTGGTATATTGTAATTTTGGTGGCTCAAGTGAACCACTTTTATAGAGCGCCATGACTGCATGTGTGCATACGTGACCTCCGAATGACATTGTGTCATTCATTTTAAATACAATGTTTGACGATCACTGAGAATGTAAACCAAGTCTGTGTAGAAGGAGCCCCCGAAGAAAGAAAAGCAAAACCAGCGCTCAGGTCCATAAACGTCCTAGGAACACGACAACGGTCACTCGCTGAGGTGCAGTCCTCTGAAGATCTGGGAATCTTGATAATACTGGAAAAGAGCAAAAAAGGGCGCACTCTCCTCATGCATTACCGTGATAAAAAAAGAATTTGAGAATGACAAAAGTGTATACTCACAAACCAAGAGTCATAAATAAAAGCAAGGAACCAATGTGACAGTCCCAGCAAGTGGTGGTCTTGTGACAGGGTGTGCTAACGCGTTTCAGGAGACTAGCTCCCTTCCTCAGAGCCCCCCATACCCAAAGTGCCCCCAGTCCCCCAAAGTCTAAATTTGGCCCTTCTTGGCTGAGCCAGCAGTATGACACCAATGATCTTATGTTTAGATGTCTGGCCACCAATGTAAGGGCATTTTCCCAATGAGCGTCCAACAAAGAAAGCATGCTCTATTGCAGAACACCTGGGAGACAGGGAACTGGTGCTCTGGCCCAATTGCTTTTGGAATGTAGCAATAATGCTCTGATGCAACAAAGCCAGTTACTTGGTAACATCCATTGTGTAAATTCTTTATCAACTACATGGCAGGATACATTAGTAACATGCTAACGCTTTTTGGCCAAAGCCTTTTTCATATATCAGTTACTGTAAGTAAGGCTTCAGCCAAAACACATTTGTTGTTTACTACTGTTTCCTGCCGTGTAGCCAATAAAGAATTGATGCAATGGATTTCCCAATGACTCCTGAAGGATTTGAGGGTTCCGTAAGACCTAAAAAGTATTGTAAGGGTTCCTGTGGAGTAAAAACGTTGAGAAAAGCTGGTCAAGACCTTATTCCTTATTGTATTTTTCATTCCGATTCAGAGAAGATTTAGTGACAAACATACTTCAATTTGTGTGCCTTTCGAATAGTTTTTCTTTTTATCTGCCCATAGGGACCAATCAAATTGTGTTTTCTGAGAGTATTATGTTGGTTGCTTTGGGCAACAGCAGTGGCGGTGGATTTTCATACTTCTAAGCTGAACATGCACTGTACACATTTTTCTGATGACTTGGCTGAATTTGCGTGAGTGGTGGTGTTGTCTCCTTCCTTCAAACATCCTTCATGTAAAAAAACTTGAAGGACTCTGGCAGAATATTGTCAGCTGAATAACTGCTACATCTGGTTGTATGCACCAACTGTTCAGCCATTCATTGTGTAGGAATCTATATGTGTATGGCCAGCATAGTCAGGAATCCTGATAGATAAGACTGCGTTCTGTCATCATTGCAGTATTATGTTCTATGAGTTATAAACTACTTTAATGCCTAGTTAATCAGTGTTTAATTGATTAACAAAAAAAAAAAGTCAGCATTTCTATACGTCATGTGAAACCAGTTGATTTTTAGTATTTTATAAGTAATTACTTTGTCTTTTTTTCTCGTATGAGCAAAGCATGTTGTGAAAAGTTTACCAGGCAGCCAGAGGGGTGTTCAGACAGCAGAGGAGTGATGGAATGAAGAGAGAGCCCAGGCTCCCATATTTTCTTTTGATAAAAGGTTTTTCGTGCTTCATACCTTCATAGAGAGTATATTCTACACTGTTGAAGTCTCCCCTTCCTGCAGTGAACCTAAATGAACAGAGATGCATGCATTTCTCGAAGTTTAAAGTAAAGGGTCTTTGTGCTGCTCCTGGCTGCCGCCCCCAAGTATGCAGAGCCTTCTCTACCCTCTTAGAGTCACATAGCCTATATTCACTGTATGTGTTCCCATGAGAGACTTGTTTACATTTCTTGCTGGTGATGTCCCAGAGATTTGCACTCTTCAGGAGTGATTGATAGTCAAGGGCCTCCGACAGCAGGATGTGCACTGCTCCGTATGCCGTATATCAAAGGGGCAAATCGGTGGCACTTTTGATGGGGGGAACTTTATCTGTACGTTAATGAGCTTGACTATTGACTATATGTAAATTCTGTAAATATTTTCCTGTTATGTGGGGGGATGTAGACCGCTGCTTAAAAAATAATTGTTTCCCTATAATACCTAGCTTGTCCTCATCACAAATACACTCATACCCAGTGGTGTATTTAGGTTTTCTGCTGCCCTAGGCAACACAAAAATCGTCTGCCCCCACGGACACCAACCAGCACTCCCTCCACCCCTGACATTGACCAAACACCCCTGCCCCCCACCTGGGTGAACCTTCCACTACCCCCCTTCCCGGCAATAGAGAGACACTCATCTTCACAGCTCTGGACATCCCTGGGAACGAGAGTCAGACTCTACATACACCATCAAGCAGCCCATGGTTCCCATGGCGCACATGTCCCTTCTTTCATCCCTTCTTCTGGGGCGAGGGGCTGCCCCCTGAAAAATGCCACCCTAGGCAAATGCCTTGTTTGCCTTGTGATAAATACACCCCTTCTCATACCCGTAGCTGACAACCATGGCCTGTATAGTCCTAGGGCATAGGGAAGCGATTCACTAAAATTATAGCGACGGTTTTCTAGCATCGTGGCTGCATTAGAAAATCCTGCATAAAATCCATGAAAGCCGTGCAACAGTTTACTTGCTATTTCAGATTGTACCAAATTCATGTAGTTCTTTGTTCAACACTTTTATATGCTGGTGCTATGGCCATGACTAATTAAGAAATACCACCATGTCCGAGATCATAAAATTGGAGGTAAATAAGACCTCTGCCATGGTAGAGTAAATTGTGTCACATTCATGAGTATTGTGCCACAGTATAGTGAGCATTCAGCCCTGGTCCATACTGATGCAGTGAGGAATTCACATCGGTTTCTGTGCGATTTCCACACCGCATCATAATTGCACCCCGTTCATGGGAACCGCTGCGGGTGTGTATTTTAAGTTAACATGCAATGTGCATAATTGGATCGAATGGGTGTGAACGCACATGTGATCCGATTCTGATGTGGGCAAAAAAAAAGAAAGGGTCTCGCACTACAAAATGTATGGCTCAAATTGCACTGCCCAGAAATTGCATGTGATTTGCACAGGAATGCGCTGCGGTTCCTGCGCAAATTACATGCGATGTGCCGCACCGCATCAGTGTGAACCGGGGCTCATAGCTAGATTTTGTTTTTTCTTTTAATTTGACTTGAGAGCTTTCTATATGCTAAACCCCATTTTCCTTTTCAGGTTGTATACGTCACCAAAGAAAAGGTTATCGTCATCACAGAACACAGTCAGTCCCCTGGTTTGGTGTCGGCAGGTTTTTGACAGTCCCACACCCGACGTGGAGTGTGCAAAAAAAAACCTTATTCACAGACTTGAACAAACAATGTCAGGTGAGTACTACTTCATACACTGTTCACATTACATCGCAATACATGGCTGAGACTCTGCTCTCCTTATTGTGGTCAAACCATTATGCAGGAAAAGTGGGGAAAGATTAGAACCACTTTCTGTGTGCTCACTGATACAGGTAGTAGTGGGAAATCCTGTCAATGGAAACAGTCTTTATCAGGCTTTTATAGCTGCTTGCATTCTTGATTCTATTTCCCACTTAGTTCTGGGCTGAGTGTTAGGAGGAGAGGGAGAAATCTCCTTGCACAAAGAAGTAAAAGCCTGACAGAGGCTGTAACTCTTTTCTACACCACCCAAAAAATGTCATGACCACAGGAGTTAAATACCAAGCTTGTTTACAGTTTTTAAAGTATGGACATTTGTATGATCTATTGACCACAGATGTGATACTAAAGCCAAAGACTGTGCAGTTGCACTATTTTTTTTTTTCTAGAGTTTGAATGTGGAAAAGCGCTGCTGATTTTCATTATCCAATCACGTGCAAGCAAAAGTAAAAATGCTGTTTTTTTTTTTTTTGTTTTTTTTTTTTCATTTTGCTTTCACCTGATTGGGTATTCTTTACAAAGTGAAGTTTCCCCACATTCATTCAGCTCTGCAGAAAATGAGTGGAACAGTTTGTTCTTTAGTAAATCAACCCTTAATGTGTGGACAGATCTTGATGGGTCAGATTAGTCTAGGTGACTGTGTACTGAAATGTTCAGGCTCTTGAATATATTTTTTTTAAAAGATGCAAATACTTTGGGACAATTTCCAGTGTAATTGTCTTTCTTGGAATGTTACATAAGGAGTGTTCTTTTCTCAACATGATGTGCATTGGTTGTATTTTGAAGCCATGCAAAGTTGTATCTGTCCTTGCTGACTTCTAAACAAGTATAACCACTGAAATTTTGTTTGGATGTCCTTAATAGAGTTGCTGACCACTATGTGTTCTATAAAAGATAGGTTTATGCAGGCCATAGATGGGTCGAAAATCGGCCGATTTTTCGGCTGAAAATAAAATCGGTCGATTTTCGGATCGTTAGTGGGCTATTTGTTCGGCCGTTTTTCGGTATTTTGGCTGTTTTTTTTTTTTTCCGGTAAAGTTGGAAAAAAATCGGCCGATTTTGCCGATCAGCCGATTTTCGCGGCAATAATGGGCAAATCGCCCGATTTTTTTACCGATAAAAAATCTGCGCATGAGCAGTGACCTGCAAGAGGAAGACAAAAAGAAGAAAAAGAGGAAGAAGAGGATGAAGAGAAGAAGATGATGATGATGAAGAGGATGATGATGAAGAAAAAGAAGAGAAGAGGAGATGAGGAGAGGAGGATGATGAGGAGGAGGAGGATGATGATGAAGAAAAAGAAGAGGAGGAGGATGATGATGAAGAAAAAGAAGAGGATGATGATGATGAAGAAGGAGAAGAAGGATGAAAAATAAGAGGAATTCCAGTCCTGCAAAAAGTGTCCCTGCAGAGAGCTCTGCTATTTCTTTGACAGTTCCTTGACATTTACAGAGGTTGCAACATTGTATCTATTTGTTTCCGAATAAAAACATCTGTATCCTAAATGGATACAAATAGATACATTGTTGCAACCTCTGTAAATGTCAAAGAACTGTCAAAGAAATAGCGGAGATCTCTGCAGGGACACTTTTTGCCGGCTGTAGACGGGATGAAAATCGGCCGATTTTTTTTTTTTTTTTTTTTTTTTTTTTCCATTGGTGGTAACGTCGGCCGCTTGAACGACCGATTTTTCGTTTTTTAAAAGAAAAATCGGCCGTTTTTCTCCCCGTCTATGGCCTGCATTACTCCATGAAACATTATAGGGGAGGTTCACTAAAACCGCTGCATACAGAATTTGGTGCAGCTGTGCATAGTAACCAATCAGCTTCCAGGTTTTATTGTAAAAGCTTGATTGAACAAGCTGAAGTTAGGAGCTGTTTGATTACTATGTATAGATCACCATTTTTAGTAGGTCTCTCCTTTTATGGGCTCTTTCACATGGGACGGACCCGTTTAGCGAATCCGCTTGCTGAGCGGGGGAGCTCTCTGCTGATCCCTGCTGAGCAAGCGGATGACCGCTCTGTGTCCCCTGCACTGCTGCAGAGCAGACACAGAGGTGCTCGCTCTCCTCAATGGGCGATCAGATGAAAACGGACCGCCTGTACGATTTTATCCGATCCAACGGATGGAAGGAGAATTGGTTCCCCATCCGTCCCTTTTTGGCGGATCAGATCGGATGTTGGCGGGTTTAAACGGACACATGTCTGTTTACACCTGTGGCTCCATAGAGGAGAATGGAGGTTCCAATCGGGTCCACCTGAAAAATGGGCAGGTGCACTTGATCGGAACGTATGTGTGAAAGACCCTTATGTCTGTCAGTATGTTCATGTGCATATAATGCAGTATTCGATTTTTGTCAGATTTCCAAGCAAAGGCTTTATTTTTAATTGTTTTCATATTACAAAATGTATGTGTTTACTACTTGAGAATAATGCAGTTCTTTCAGTTAAGACTAGCACAGCAGACTTTTTCTTTGGTCACAAGCTGTTTTGTGAAGAAATTAAAACCTAAAGGCAAGAAATCCTTCTCAGATTCTGATGTTTTCAGATACAGTTATTGCTTGTTACCAGTGCAACTTATAAAACCACATTAAGCGGAATTTATCAAAACTGGAATGGATATAATTTGGTGCAGCTGTGCATAGCAACCTATCAGCTTCTATTTTCAGCTTGTTCAGGTTAAGGAGAAGTACAGCCAAAGGTTTTTTTTTGGCTGTACTTCTCCTTTGGATAATAGGAGTACAATTCGCTCTGCATTCCTGTGACCTGTTTTCTGCTGACCGTGGGCTTAAGCCCTCTGTCGGCTGCTGTCACTTAGCCGGTCAGGACTGGGGAAAGAACCCGAGTCAGGATTTAAAGCCAGGATCTATCCTAGAGTCTGGAGCAGCACCTGGCTCAGCCTCTCAGCGGTCCACTGCGGCTCTCTCCCCTCCACAGCCCAACGGCCAGAACAGAAAGCGCGTTGACTGACAGTCACTGCTCTCTGCTCAGAGTGGCTGTGAGAACTCAGCGATCAGTGGTCATGTGATCGCTGAGTTCTCACACTTAGAATAGGCAGGGGACAGATGCAGCAGCGGGAGTAGGCAGGGGACAGATGCAGCAGCGGGAGTAGGCAGGGGACAGATGCAGCAGCGGGAGTAGGCAGGGGACAGATGCAGCAGCGGGAGTAGGCAGGGGACAGATGCAGCAGCGGGAGTAGGCAGGGGACAGATGCAGCAGCGGGAGTAGGCAGGGGGCAGGTGCAGCAGCGGGAGTAGGCAGGGGGCAGATGCAGCAGCGGGAGTAGGCAGGGGACAGATGCAGCAGCGGGAGTAGGCAGGGGGCAGGTGCAGCAGCGGGAGTAGGCAGGGGGCAGATGCAGCAGCGGGAGTAGGCAGGGGACAGATGCAGCAGCGGGAGTAGGCAGGGGGCAGGTGCAGCAGCGGGAGTAGGCAGGGGGCAGGTGCAGCAGCGGGAGTAGGCAGGGGGCAGGTGCAGCAGCGGGAGTAGGCAGGGGGCAGGTGCAGCAGCGGGAGTAGGCAGGGGGCAGGTGCAGCAGCGGACCGAGGTAGGCCAGATTTTGGATGCTCAGATTTTGATAAATTCCCCTCATAGCTTTTTGTTTTGGCTCCATGTATATATCTTGAAGATTACAGAACAGCCATTTATTCTAACTGACCCAAGATAACATATAGTGCAGCTATCCGTGTGTGTGTGTGTGTGTGTGTGTGTGTGTGTAATGAAAATAGGAATATGGATGCTACCATAGATTTAAAAGTTGTAGACTACATTGCTCTGTTATCCTGTTCATGGCATTACTACCTGATAATTCACTGACCTAAATCAAGTGTAGAAGGGAGCAGTTCATATTTTCCAGATTTGGGGAATGCTTGCTTGTTCTGGATCCCTGACTCACTAGTTGGTGAAACCAGAGACTGACAACATTGGAGCCAGCACTTTTTAAGATCAATTTATAAATATGGCACTCACCATTGCTGTCCCCACAGGTTCTCTTTAAGGTCATTGAGAACTAGGGATAGCCTGCTGCATCTGTGCCAACATTGACCTGTTTGGCTTTTTGAGAAAAAGGAGAGCTCCAAACCTCTTAAAGAAAGGGGGTGGAGGACCTGTTTTTGGTCAGTCAAATCATAGCTGTTATTGGTGGGGTTTGGTCTACAAAAATCACTCTTCATTCTCATAGGTTATATTTAGGGATTTAAACAGTTCTACTATAAAGCCAACTTTGTGTAGTTATACAGTTCTGTTGTACATTTTTTTTTTAAGTAAACCTCTTATATTTTTGCCTGCTCTGTGCAATGGTTTAGCACAGAGCAGCCCTGATCTTCCTATTCTTGGGTCCTCCATTGGCGCTCCTCCTCTTCTCAGGGCATCCGCTTAGCAAGCCGCTTGCTCTGGCAACACTCCCGAGTCCCACTCTGCATGTCCATAAGACACACAGAACAGGGCTCAGCCCCACCCCTGCTCCTTCACTGGCTGTGATTGACAGCAGCAGGAGCGAATGCCTCTCCTGGGAGAGCAGCCACTCTCGTACACATCTCTAGATCGCGATCAGGTTCGGGTAAGTATTAGGTGGCCTGCAGGGGAGCTGCATACTGAAGATTTTTTTACCTTTGTGCATAGAATACATGATAAAAAAGCTTCAACCTTTACAACCACTTTAATGTCTGATCACATTTGACATACTAAAGTAAATATTTCTCTGTTTTACAGCAAACAAGAGGCAGAGTATGTACAGCATTCCTTATAGTTCATCCAGCTATGCTAGCTCCTACAGTCCCAATCCCAATGGAAGTCCATACAACAGCGGCTTCAACTCCCCATCCCCCACTCTAGTAAGACCTCCAGTAGTGCGGCAGCTGGTTCTGCCTAGCAACACAGGTGAGTAAACATCAATATTTACTTGACAAGTATGGGTTCCTTTTTTCACACATTATCTTTTCTGTGCCATTTAAAAATGTGTCTGCATTATGTATGTGCTTTAGGAGTTTTGTTTATGGATTTGCATGTTTTATCAGCACAGACATGTTGCTTTCTTCTTGGTAGTTACAGCGATGTGGGAATCTTAGATGTCCCCCATAGGCTTTCTTGGTAGCTTTAGCTGACTTGTACAACTGCAGAAGGGCAGACCCATACCGCTTTAGGATTACATTTATGACACAAATATTATCTTCTTTTCCAGACACCTACAGAATTTATTTTGTCATAGCTGTATTTAGCAAATGGTTTAACCAGTCAAGGTTATTTGTTCATTTGTTCGGGCAGATGCAATAAAAAAAAAAAAATTACCGTTTCAGTTGTCTGTTCTTAATAGCAGGATTCTATGAAAATAGCAGCATGGCCTTATCCAAAAAGAGTTTTCCCAAATAGTTTTCCAGGACAGCATATGAGATGTAGGAACCTCCTTCAACAGGAACAGGAAACGCATCACCAAATAAACTTTAATAGGAAGTCCTTCTGTTGAACTGGTGAGTTTTTTGTGTTTTTTCTGGCCTGAGGCGATGCATCGCCTGGAGCCTGGGTGCTCTCTTTCTCTGGCTTTCCTTATCGCCCACCTATCTGGCTCTCCTGAGAGGTGCTAGTAGGGTTCTTGGCTAGATTGCCCTCAAAGACCCCTCCTCAGTATAGGAAGGAGGTGGCTGGGTTCCCAGTTGGTGTGCCTTGGTGCGTGCACTGTAGGGCACTTAGTGGCTGGGTCTTATGCGGTAGCTGCATTGTTGTGTGGCCTGGCTGTGTTCCTGTTGGACCGGATGATTCAGGGGCGTTAATCCCAGGTGGGGTGAAGCCATTTCCAGGTGCCGAAGCCTGTGGTTCCAAGCCTTGTTCTCGGTGAAGGGGGAAAGGTTTGATGGTGTCTTCCAGCAGAGGCTTTTTAGAATGCTACAGGTAGAGAAGCTAATACTGCATTTTGGATTCTTCAATGCCAATTGCAGCTCAAGCGGATAAGTTGGAGATTACTGTACCTACTTTCACTTTTTCCCTAGGTTTTCACCTAGCGTGTAATCTGTCATCTGGGGCCGTTTGGTGTTGGGCTTTCCCTATCTAGGGCTTTTTAGAGGGAGTTTGGGGTTTGTGTCTTGTTTCCTCTCTCAACTAGATATAGCTTCTGAGAGAGGAGGAGTAATCTGCCAGTGCTTATAGCAACCTTCTCTACAGTGAAAGAGGAGTTGACCTCTACCTTGCAGTCTACCTTTGCCGATCGGCCGATTTTCGCGGCAATAATGGGCAAATCGCCCGATTTTTTTTTTACCGATAAAAAATCTGCGCATGAGCAGTGACCTGCAAGAGGAAGACAAAAAGAAGAAGAAGAGGATGAAGAAGAGGATGAAGAAGAGGATGATGATGATGAAGAAAAGAGAAGAGGATGAAGAAGAGGAGGAGGATGATGATGAAGAAAAAGAAGAGGAGGAGGATGATGATGAAGAAAAAGAAGAGGAGGAGGATGATGATGAAGAAAAAGAAGAGAGGAGGATGATGATGAAGAAGAAAGAGAAAGGATGAAAAATAAGAGGAATTCCAGTCCTGCAAAAAGTGTCCCTGCAGAGAGCTCTGCTATTTCTTTGACAGTTCCTTGACATTTACAGAGGTTGCAACATTGTATCTATTTGTTTCCGAATAAAAACATCTGTATCCTAAATGGATACAAATAGATACATTGTTGCAACCTCTGTAAATGTCAAAGAACTGTCAAAGAAATAGCGGAGCTCTCTGCAGGGACACTTTTTGCCGGCTGTAGACGGGATGAAAATCGGCCGATTTTTTTTAATTTTTTTTATTTTTTTTTTTTTTCCATTGGTGGTAACGTCGGCCGCTTGAACGACCGATTTTTCATTTTTTAAAAGAAAAAATCGGCCGTTTTTCTCCCCGTCTATGGCCTGCATTACTCCATGAAACATTATAGGGGAGGTTCACTAAAACCGGTGCATACAGAATTTGGTGCAGCTGTGCATAGTAACCAATCAGCTTCCAGGTTTTATTGTAAAAGCTTGATTGAACAAGCTGAAGTTAGGAGCTGTTTGATTACTATGTATAGATCACCATTTTTAGTAGGTCTCTCCTTTTATGGGCTCTTTCACATGGGACGGACCCGTTTAGCGGATCCGCTTGCTGAGCGGGGGAGCTCTCTGCTGATCCCTGCTGAGCAAGCGGATGACCACTCTGTGTCCCCTGCACTGCTGCAGAGCAGACACAGAGCAATGACACTATAATGGCTGAGGTAATCGCCTGTATAACACTGTCACCGCAGGCCGGTTATACAGAGGGTTAAACAGAGTAGCGCTCTTTTTAGAGGCAGAAATTCGGAAATTGCAATAAAGAGCTATAGAAAACCGTTCAACACTTTCAGAAGGAAAGATTTATTGCTAAAAGGTCAAAAGGGTGCAATAAAAAATATTTACAGAAAAAAGATGTAACCAATATATATATAAAAATATACAGCGAGCAACAGCACAGCAAAGAGGTAACAGGAGGTTAAAGGGTTAAAGTACTTGCCAATCAGCCTTGGGTTTGCAGATCAAGTTTCAGAGCAAAAGGGCTGTCTCCCAAGTTGGTTCTGATGTTAAACGGGAGGAGTATTCTTCAACTTGGCTCTCTTAGGCCTGACAACCCATTTTGTAGTTCCCCAACAGGGGGTGTCTCTGAAGTCAAGGACCAATACCCTGTTTAGGGAGGGATTGTGTGGGCGTAGGCCTAAACTAGAGCCAAAATCTCTTATAGTTCATATTTTTGGCTCATAACTTTCCATCTGCACAAGTGAGACTCCACCCCGCGGGTAGATTATTATGCAGATACGTCTGAGGATTGATTAGACATGACATATGAAATTCTACACTGAATGGTTCACGAGATCTACTTTTCTGCATTCCTATGTATTCCGGCCAAGGAGAGTGACCTATCAAACTGTTCGTCTTCTCTTGGCCAATCTGATGATATGCCTGGTTTTTATGCATGTTCCTCATATTCCAAGATATGAGACATAGGGGAAAAATGGATTTTTAAAAGTGTTCTCTGGGCTGTGCTTAGCTAGAATCTCTTTGAACTCCTGGGAAAGGCTTGCCTTACAAGGTGCTATATGGCACAGCTCCTTCAGACAACCAGGCACCTCACTCAGAGGGGTGTTTTATAGTTCTGGGCCCCCTGCTGTGCCCCAGCCTGTGACACTCCTAACAGGCAGGCCATATGTCAATGTGTATGAACAGAGAGGAGGGGGGGGGAGAATGAGGGGGAAATGGAGAATTCTTAACAAAATGGAGGGTTGGAGCAACATGGTTGGACCTCGTCCATCTCTGTGTGTACGCTTGCTACAATGAGACCCCTGCCCAACCTGACGAGTGCCAAGATCCCTGTGCTGTCAGCTGTAGGGGTTCCTCAGAAGGTGAATCATGTTGGTGATTTACTGTCCCCCCACTACTTTTCCTAGCTGGATTGCTATCTGGAGTATTCGGTCCAGCGAAAGCAAATGCCCTCTAGTTTAAAGGGAGAGGAGGATGATTCTTTCTGTGTGTAAAGTTGCTGATTCCCTGGCAGTATGTGGATGTCCTTTTAGGTGCTCTCTAGTAAGCTTGGCATTCAAGGTAAAGTGTCTGTTTTTGCATACTGACATGTACAGTATTAGCCCTTAAGGGAGGAAAAGGTTTTTCCAAACCAATGTAAGCTCACAGATCACATTAATTGTTCTTAACTGTTTCTATTAGCTGTTACTTGGGTGTGGCTGTCTCACAGTTGTTGGGCTTGCCTTCCTACACACAGTACAATTTGCAGACTATTATCACAATGCAGCCAGAGCCACCAGAAATTTCACCTCCACCTCTCTTCACAGTGCTTTCTATTCTCACTAGAGAGGAGCTTGAGAGGCTGAATTATATAAAATGTCTCAGCTCTTGATGAAAGCCTTCTTACCTGATATAGTATGGCCTTCACTCCTTGGGATCGGGCTATATAGACCTCAAATATACTGTATACCTCAGTGGTTATGTGGGGCTACATTCACATAACCTCACCATATACTTTCCATTGAGATCTCTCTCTTTGGGTAAGCCTTCGCATAGGTCTGTGTTTTTGTTTTTGTTTGTTTTTTTTCTTTCATTTTAGGCCTAAGGTTTTATCTTGTACTTCTCATCTAGGGCCTGAGGTGTAGTAACCATTTTAAGCTGCTGGTTTTGCATGTGAAGTCACATCATGTCTGCATGGGACTCTTATACTTAGTCTTGTCAAGACCTTAGGCTTTTCAGGTCCAGGCTTTTATTATACAAGTTTGCTTACTGCCACCTCTAACTTCTAAGGATCCTCAAAAAATGGGATGTTTCAAAGGGTTACATGTTATAGCTAAGGCTTATATGCATTTTTTTATGACTTCTTAATTTGGGAGATTCACATTCCTTATCCACTTGTGGATAAGGCCTCCAGGCTCATTGACCTTACATCTAGTATTTTTTTTCTACAGGCTGGGGTGTTTTTTCATACCTTACATTGGGAGGATCCCTATTAGACTATTTAATGTATTTGTTAAGGGACCTTATGTATTGTTTTTTTATATAATATAGATAATTTACTGTTCAGTAAACCATGCTCTTGATTACATTCAGGTCTGGCAATGCAGCAGCAGAGGCTTCTGTCAACATAGTGTTTGGCAGGAGGGTCCCATGCATGGCATTTAGGTGTCAGCAGAAGATATTTGACATTTTACATTACATAAGTTGTGCCTTTTACAAATATTGTAGTGGGGTTATCCTGTACCACATTATTAACCTTTTACAAGACTTCCTATGCATATGCTCTGACGGTAGAGGTTTAAAATATTTATGTAATGTATTATACTGCATATCACAGCTTGTTTTTGGTCTCATGTTGCAACAGTTACACTGGCTTTTGTCAAATGGTCATGTTGGAAAACCAGCATTTGATCAGCGCTTGAAGCCAATGGCAGCAAGTGCTGAGCAGTGTATACTGGTGGGGGGCAGTTCCCCTGTCAGAATATAAAGACAGAGAGATTCCTGCATCACATATTGTGATATGTGACATGTGTTAATGAAGGGATCTGTCCGTTTTTTTTTCCTTTTCACAACCAGTTGGAAAAAAAAAACTGTGTGTGTACTCAGCTTTGGCATTATACTATGGTTGGTCAGCAAGTGGTAATAATAAATAAGCCCTTATTACATTACATATTTTGGTAACTTTTTTACTTAGTAGAGGTTTATGATAGAGCTCTGTATATGCATGTTGTCTAACACATAAATGTAGCTGAGAACTATGTATCTATATTGTTAAACTAAAATGTAATATATTGCAGCTGACTAGTCCTTTGATGTGCTGGCTGCATTAAAGGAGAAGTTAACCTTTGGGAACATGTTACATGTTCCACCCATTTTTTAGGGTGGAACATGTAACATGTTCCAACTCCTCCAGCTGCTGCCTCCTCCGCCACTTCTAGTGACTGCAAGTGGGGGATTTTCTCCCCCTGCTAGTTGTCACAATTTTAAAAGAAAACACTCTTCCCACCCGGCTGCGTCATTCATTCACAGAGTTCTGTGAATGGGAAACTACAAGTACTGTCAGCCTTTACGGCTGTCGGCCTGTAGTTCTCAATGAACTACTATGGCGCTGTTGAGTGCTCTGGTAGTTTATTGTCTCTTCCTGTCGGTGTGTATCTTCCTACCCATATGAGGTACGAGCAGACAGATACACTGACAGGAGTCCTGCATGGCACCTGCGATCTGCTGATCAAGGGGACAATGCTTTTGCAGGCTCCAAGTAAAATAAATAAATAAATAAATAAATGCACTTTTTTTTGTACCTGCAAAAAGATGTGCATTTTTTTTCAAGGTGAACTTATCCTTTAACTTTCATTTTTCAGGTGAATATTGTCAGTAAGTGCAGAAACTACCAGTTGATCTTGGCAGCAATGTAGTGTCTTTGTCACTTTCTGTCAACAGAAAAGACAACAAATAAAATCCTCAATTTGTTTTGCAAACTATTAAGTTCATCAATCAACCATGCAGTAAATATAAACAAAGGCATACAAGTCCAACATGTGTGAAAGCCATGGTTTTGCCCTAGATACAGTGGAGAGGTGAATGTAGCCATGAAGGGACAGGAAGTGTGTTATTTATTTACCAGGTGAAAATGAAGAAGAAAGTTTAAAAAAAAAAAAAAAGTTAAATAAAAGAGAACATGAATGCAGCCGCTACATCTATGGATCAGTAAACTGCAGTATATTTAATTTTTTATTTTTTGGTTTAGAGTTTGAGTTTAATGATTCTTTATCAGCTTCTTAAATATAGCATCTCAATATTTATTTTAGGTATGAAGCTTGGTCTATGAATATTTTTATTACTTTACCCTAGGTTCATACCTAAGCATTTTCTGCAGTGGTTTGCAGAAACACAGTACATTCCATTTAACATGATTTCCTATGGGACATGTTCACATCTGTGCATTTTCTGGAAAGGGTCAGGGACTTTTATAGACTTCAATGGCAACGCTGCAGAAAAGCATGTATTGCGTTTTTGATGCATTCTGCGTTTTAAATCTGCCTAGTAACAAGAACAATTTAAAAAAAATTAAAAAGGAAAAACGGAAAAGCAACAAAAACGCAATGCAGAAATGGCTCAAATGCAACCTGCATAAATGTGAACCTAGCCTCGCTACTGAGAGACTGAACTAATGTTGCCCATCACATCGGATGAATACCGCTTTCGAAGAGATCATACGATAATCTGATCATTAGTACACAGCTATCGAGAGCCGATCATGATAGTTTCATGCAAAATTATCCAAAGGGACAAACATGATACCAGAACGTACGATTTTTGTTTATTCAGTACAGTGTTCACCCGAAAAAATCTCAAGACCACGCATGCTCAGAAACTAATACAATACAGTACATCACTTCCGAAGTTATATACTGAATTACGAGAATGTTCGTACTGTGGTAGCCTCTTCGTGATCGATATGAGACAAGCATGCAAAAAAAAAAATATGGATGATCATTTGCTATTTTCATCGTGTATGAGGCTTTACAAAGATTTTATTGGGTGTGTAAGCCCTAGGCAAAAACTGGTTATAAACATGCAAATGTGAACAACCAGATTTCCCAAACAATCCGGCAAAGTATATCTGATTCGGCACCTTGTTATTTCTGAGCATGCCCAGCCACAGCATGAGGAATTCATTTTAGATGGCTCAGCTTGCTTTCCTTTTCTCTGATGATCTGGTTAGGGGGTGTAGTGTCATTATGTAGGATCAAGCTGTATGCTTGGCTGCAAGGGCCCCTAGCAACCAGACTCTTTGGACATCTCTAGCCAACGATAACAAATCACTTCTACAGTGCAAACAAGCAGGAAATGAGTAGATAGCATTACCATTATTTCTAGACATATCTACAATTATGCTTATCAGTTAAAATGTTTAAGTGGAAAATCTCTTTAAAGAAGTCCTTGACATCATTTGATCGGGCTATGTTATGCTTGGTCTGATTCCTGACAGTATTTCCAAAACACATAAACACATAATTTTGGCTTGGCGTACCATGTAATTTGTGTTGGAAAGTGAGCTTGTGCCTAATAAGGAACTGGAGCATTCACTGCTATACCAGTTATATTTAAACACCAGAATCAAATGGAAAGTGCCCTTGTAAGTAACATATATTATGTGTAGAAATGCATGCTTATTGTACATATTTGTTAGTATTTTTACATATTTTTTTCAAATAGAAGTGATTACTAAAGTTGATATTCCTAGAGTTACAAATCACAGAGGTCTCTTTATCCCATTGAAGTTGTTCTCAACACCCTGACCCTGTACGAGTATTAATGTTCTTAAACCCAGGACCCTGCTTTAACTATATCCAGTCTCCCACAGTACACAGAACATGGAAAATGCAATTATTTTAGTAAATATAAACTGCTAAATACCTTTTCTCATCAGCAGTATATAGCATTCTTGTGACTTCTGTCAGTGTCTAGGAGAGCTCTGGTTAAAGCTTGTAGGAGGAATTTTCTTTCTGCTCTAGGAGGATGGAAAACCCCTGACCTCTGCTGATTGGCCCTGTGCTGATCACATGCACCCTCCCAAGAAAAAAAAAAAACCTCTAGCAATACACACCAAACTGAGCATATGCATGTGACCACGGGTTCAGTCTGTATCAGGTGGTCATTTCAAGAAGAGGAGGGGCAGAGAAGACAGGATCAAACAGCCTTTTTACACAATGCGGAGGATTAACCCCTTAGGTTCCACAGTGAGTATAACACACATGCTTTACTGCATATACAGACTGATTTTACTGTTGTGTGTTTAGTAACACTTTAAGGCAGTCAGGGGTGCAGGGGCTGCATGAAAACAATAGCTGGCAGATGAGATTCCTCCATCCACCCTGTTTTTAGCGTAGATGGAGAAATCTGATTATGAATGGCTAAAGCTGGCAATAGATGGATCGAAATTCAGCTGGTTCAGCAGGAACCAGACACATTTCATTTTTGGGCAGGCTGGTTGTACTGAAGTTGATCTTTCAATACAACTTGAGTACAAACAGCCTGTCTGGATTTTTTCACTGCTCACTGCCAGCAGGACACAATAGCACTTTCCTTCAACTACAGAAACTTGCATGATGTATGGCCTGCCTAACTATATTAGATGCCAAACTAGTGAACCCTAAAAATGTCAAACATCAGGACAAAAAAGTAATTCTCACCCTACTAAGAGACCTGAGGGTAAAGGTTTTCTTTAAATGGGTTAAACGCATACTGTGTATATGGCAGAAAGTGTCTGATATTGGTCAGAAAAAAAACCTTGTTTTACTTTATACTGTTTTAATGTAAATAAGACTTTTTTCATTTTTAATAATGTATGTGTTTTATTGCCTAGGACTTTATAAAAACTCATATCTGACAGAAACCCTCCTCCTGACAGCCCACAGTCCTCAGTGGACAGTGAGCTCAGCACATCCGAAATGGACGAGGACTCCGTAGGTTCAAATTACAAGCTAAATGATGTCACAGATGTCCAGATATTGGCCCGGATGCAGGAAGAAAGTGAGTATGGAACATTTAATTAGAAATATATCCTGCTTTATTCATATAACTCGTTATAATACTAATTATCTACAGGAAACCATGCTGTTGTCTTAAGATACAAGTTTACAGGCTCCTTATATTATGCCACTGAAGTGAGATGTATTGTCCAACTTTTTTTTCTTTCTTTTTTTTTTTTTTTTTTTTTTTTTTTTTACAGCAACACAATACCATCCCACCTAAAATTGTTTCTCTTATACAGTGCCATTTCTATTATGTTTAAAGTGATACTAAAGACGTATTTTTTGTAAAATAAACCTGTCATACTTACCTGCTCTGTGCAATGGTTTTGCACAGAGCTGCCTAGATCCTCCTATTCTTAGGTCCCCCACTGGCGCTCCTGGCCTCTCCCTCCTGTTGCAGTTTGCTATGGGGGGCACCCGCTCCTGAGCCGCTGCTCCATGTGTATTTTCACACATGGAGCCACAGCTCAGCCCCACCTTCTCTCTCTTCTCATTGGTTCATTGACTGTGATTTACAGCAGTGGGAGCCAATGGTTCCTGCAGTTGTCTCAGCCAATGAGGGAGGGAGTCTCGGGATAGCCGAGACTCCAGTGCACATCACTGAATCAAGAGGAGGCTTAGGTGAATATTAGGGGGGCTGCTGCACGGAGAAGGTTTTTTACGTTCATGCATCGAATGCATGAAGGTAAAAAACCACCAGTTTTTACAACCACTATAAATACACTTGACCTGGTCTTACACGTTTTGTAAGGTAGCAGTAGTGTCTGCAAGTACCTTTTGTTCGTTTTCAGGGTTTAGCCCCTCTCTCAGGGGTGTGGAAATTTTTTTATTTTTAAAAGCTACTTGTCCAAGGGACTAAATCGTGGTTCCAATCTACTTGCCCCTTGTGACAATCAACTTGTCCTGATAAAAAAAAAAAAAAATAATTTTAAGCAAAACCGTATTTAAATATGAGGTGCTTTCAGGAATGTCTGGGGCTTTTAAAAATGACGGGCTTTATGGCGACTTAAACTTTTATTGTATTCAACATTGCGCTGCTTCTCTCCTACTCATCTCCTTGTCTATATCTCCAGCACCGCCCCCGGGGAGTGGAGAGACCTTGCAGTGTAATGAGCACTGATTGGGTGCTCATCAGGAAAGGGGAGTGTCAGGCACTTTTAACGCTAAGTAGAAGCTCATCTGCTGAACGAGTAAATAAGGAGCCGGCCCCATTGAGAAAATAAAAACTTTATTCCTTCAGGTTACCCTTGCACATGGAAGTACTGGGTGCTCAGTACTAGCACCTGCTGAGGAGCCAAATCAAGCACCAGTGTCCGCTTCGGTAGGGCCCCGTTCATACCTGGGCGTTTTGGGATTACGGCAGAATCGCTGCAATTCTGCCTGCAATCTCAAACCCACTACAGTCACACTTCTCAGATTCAGGTGTCATTGTTTTCACTGACACCTAAAATGCAGTGCGGTTTTGCCATGCGATTTACTGCGTGGCAATTCACATCGTGTGAAGCTTGTCCCTCAAAAAGGGGAATGAGCTTCTTTTAAGTGATGAGCTTCACAATATGCAATTTGCTGCAATTGTCATGCGATTTCACATCTTGTGAAGCTTGTCACTCAGGAGCTTCTTTTGGCCGACAAGCTTATTGCAATGCGATTTGACACGCAATATTCTTGGCAAAACTGCACCACGTTTTAGGTGCCTTTGATTATAATGGCACTTTAACCTGCATTTTGAAATTGTGGGCAGAATTTGCAGCGATACTGCTGCAATCCCAAAACACTGAGGTATGAATGAACCCACCCTGGTTGACACATAGTGAATCTGCACCACTCCTGAATTCGGAGTGGTACTGCCACTTTCATGAAGACTGTGCCTGTCTGCGCTACAACAGGATGAAAAAATGAATGCACGTCAGTTTGCATTATCACTGCTAATTCCCAAGCCTGTAGCTTATGAATCGGCACTTGGCCACACTTAGCCCTACCCACTGCTTTCTGGATTGACAGCAATGCATATATTGCAGAAACCTTCCCACTGTGAGCTGTAGTGTCTGGGAGGGGGAGTGTGTGGGAAACATATGAAGGAGGCTTAGCCAGGGGAGGTAAAGGAAGTTTTTTGTTTACCCTATGAGGCTTGAGCATCATCTTTTTCATACAGGGGACTTTAGTTGTACTTTATTTTTGACGTGTGTTAGACCAGGGCAGGTTCACTTTAATTTGCCCACCCTGATTTGTTTAAGCCTGTAGGTGTGCCTTGCACTTTCTAGGTTTCCTTTTAAAGCTGAGTTTAGACATTTTCGCCTGCCATTCGTATTGTTCATATTGCTTGCTCTCGCGCTATTCATTGTGTTTCTTTGAACACTCCTCCATTTACAGAATGCAGTACATTGTGGGAGAATAGTATTGTGAGCAGTATGAATGACAGAGTGGGCAGAAGGGGGCAGGTGAGCCGTGTAACTTTTCTCAGTAGCAGCGGTGCTGCCAACATTTACAACACCAGAAGCTAGCCTCTCAGGGCTGTATCCAGGCATTGCAGGGAAGAATTTTTACCAGAAGCAGCTGCCACATCATTAAGCATAACTATTTTTTTCTTTTTTGGATACATCACCAACGCACTAAACTTCCTCTTTCAATTAATTAGCCATACCCTCGGTACTTTTTCTTACACTTGGCCTACGTATTTCACACTGATCCTTTTACACTTCTGATACAACATTGCCAGTATTTTTCACATTCTGGTAACAGATATTACTTTTTTTTTTTTTTTTTTTTACAAGAAACATGCCTGCTCGGGCATCAGTACACAGCGGCTATTAGACCTGTCAGTTCTGTGTAATGAACATTTTAAAAAACCCTTGTGTCTCTGTGTTCACTTCAGGCTAGTGATCATAGTGTCACTGGACAGTTGTGGTATTATAATAATGGACAGGATTGTGGGATTAGGGTTCCGTAAATGCAGCTTTTTGTTTTATTTATTTCTCTATTGATTGAGCTGGATGCACTCCTAGCTCCTTTCAGATCAGTTTTTTACTTTTTATGTATTTTTGTAGGTGAATAAGAGAAAAATGTTTCCCGTTCTTTTCTCATACCAGGAGTAAAAAGAAAGGCCAGCAAGCTTTATACAGTGCCAAGACATAGCCTGAACTGTACTGGGGGAAAAAAGAGCAAATGGTCAAAGTTTCAAGTCTCCAAATGTGCTGCAGATAGCAGTAAACTGCTATTGAGCTTATTGGTCCTTAGGGAAAAATCATGTTATTTGTGAAAGGTTTCTTCTCAGAGGGTTCTGTTGGCTCACAAAGTGTCTTCCTTTTCTACATTAAGGCCTTCGACAAGAGTATGCAGCTTCAGCTTCTCGTCGCAGCTCTGGTTCATCATGCCACTCCATGAGAAGAGGGACGTATAGTGACCAGGAACTTGATGCTCATAGCTTAGAAGATGACGAAGAAGGAAGTCACCATTCAGCTCACTTGCCTGTGAGCAGATTCTCACCCTCACCACGTCACTCTCCTCGCCCCTCTCCCAGACAGTCTCCCAGAAACTCTCCACGCTCCAGGTCTCCGGCACGCAGCTTGGATTACAGAGGTGTGTCTCCTCAACCCATGCTTAGCCGCCTACAGCAGCCCCGCCTTTCGCTTCAGGGGCACACCACAGACTTACAGACAAACGTGGTGAAAAATGAAGGTAAATTACTGTTTAAAAAAAAACACATGTGCTTTCTGTTGGATAGCCGTTGTTTTAGAATTTTCGTGTAATGTGAACCTATTTGAGAGGATTTCTACTTTCACAGAAGAAGTATAAACTCCCAACCACTTGTCCAAGGCTAATGTTTGGGGATCTCGTCCGTTAAAAACCCATGGTGATCAACTTTTTTAACAGCTGAAGCAATCGTGTAAAGCTACCACTGCTCAAGTGGCATCGTAGGGAGACTCCGGAATGTTCCAGATGTGGAGGCTCCACTGCGGACCTCTTCCACATGCTCTGGAAATTTCCAAAACTAGTTAGATATTGGCGCACTGTAATTAATGTCGTAAATCAAGCATTTCAAACACAAATACATAATGATCCACTAACCTGCATACTCAGATTCCTAGGTGAGGAACTTTTCACCCTTCATACCCAGACTTCTATCTCCAGATTATTTATAGCCCGCAAATGTATTCTGAAATGGATCACCTGAATTCCTGCACCTTCACCCCCCAAGATCACCCCAATTTTTGCACCTTCACCCTTCCCACCCCAGATCATTCTAGTTCCTGCATCTTCACACTTTAGTTTAGCCCCAATTCCTTCACCCTTCAGGTCACCTCAATTGCTGCACCTTCACCCCTCTGATCACCCCAATTTATACACCTTCACACCTGACATCAGCCACAATTTCACACCTCAGATCAGCCCCAGTTCCTTTACATTCACACCTCAGATCAGCCCCAATTCCTTTACCTTCACACCTCAGATCAGCCCCAATTCCTTTATCTTCACACCTCAGATCAGCCCCAATTCCTTTATCTTCACACCTCAGATCAGCCCCAATTCCTTTACCTTCACACCTCAGATCAGCCCCAATTCCTTTACCTTCACACCTCAGATCAGCCCCAATTTCTTTACCTTCACACCTCAGATCAGCCCCAATTTCTTTACCTTCACACCTCAGATCAGCCCCAATTTCTTTACCTTCACACCTCAGATCAGCCCCAATTTCTTTACCTTCACACCTCAGATCGCCCCAATTTCTTTACATTCACACCTCAGATCAGCCCCAATTCCTTTACATTCACACCTCAGATCAGCCCCAATTCCTTTACATTCACACCTCAGATCAGCCCCAATTCCTTTACCTTCACACCTCAGATCAGCCCCAATTCCTTTACATTCACACCTCTGATCACCCCAACTTCTGCACCTTAAGACCTCAGGTCAGCTCCAATTTCTGCACCAACACCTCATATCACTCTAATTCCTGTACCTTCACCCTTCAGATCACACTAATTTTGGCATCTTCACACTCCAGGTTAGCCCCAGTCCCTGCGCCTTCACAGCTCAAATCAGTCCTAATATATGCAGTTTCAGGCTGCAGATCAACCCCAATTCCCGCATTTTCAGGCTGCATATTAGCCCAAATGCATGCAGATTCAGACCTCAGATCAGCCCCAATGCATGCAGCTTCAGGCGACAGATCAGCCCCAATGCATGCAGCTTCAGGCCACAGATCAGCCCCAGTGCAAGCAGCTTCAGGCCACAGGTCAGCCCCGGTGCAAGCAGCTTCAGGCCACAGGTCAGCCCCAGTGCAAGCAGCTTCAGGCCACAGGTCAGCCCCGGTGCAAGCAGCTTCAGGCCACAGATCAGCCCCGGTGCAAGCAGCTTCAGGGCACAGATCAGCCCCGGTGCAAGCAGCTTCAGGGCACAGATCAGCCCCGGTGCAAGCAACTTCAGGGCACAGATCAGCCCCGGTGCAAGCAGCTTCAGGCCACAGATCAGCCCCGGTGCAAGCAGCTTCAGGCCACAGATCAGCCCCAATGCATGCAGCTTCAGGCCACAGATCAGCCCCAATGCATGCAGCTTCAGGCCACAGATCAGCCCCAATGCATGCAGCTTCAGACCTCAGACACCCCTCAATGCATACCTACGCACACATTAAACCTCTGTTCAGTCCAGTGCTTGAATGTACTTCAGACCACAGATCAGTTCCAGTCTCATACAATTATGTATTTCGGGCACACAACCTTTTTAAATTAAACCTGAACTCCATGAAAAACTTTAGTTTAAATATTGGTAACTATTACTTTTAGAAAACTCTGACTAAATTAATATACATGTCATGACTAGATGTCCAGTGGGAACATTATGACTTATTATGTTTTGACTTATTTATTTTGGACAAATAAAGCAGCAGAGAAGCAACTCTCAAACCGGAAACACACTTTGATTTAATAGTGGACTGCAAGGTGGGTGCTCAGGCCCCAAAGTGTCCTCCAAACACTGGATACAATATATGAAAAACAGGAAGAGCTGGCAACTCCAAAATCCTTATGAAAGCTTTTATTGCTGATAAAGTAGTGACATAAGAGCACGCTGATGTATTTCAGCAAGCAGCTTTGATCACTGCATAGTGTTTAATTAAAGAAATTGTGTGTGTGTGTGTGTGTATATATATAATATATATATATATATATATATATATTATATATATATATATATATATATATATATATGATCTCCACCCAAAAAGGATGGTTCTAAACACAGGCTCTCACAAAAGGTCAGTATCTATAAACATAGAGAAACAAAAGATGGGAAAGGATAAATGAAAAACCACAATATATCTAATAGATTAATCTCAAGAAAAGATCCACATCCCATATTAAATTCATTCCGACTGGGCTTCTAGTGTCCAGGGTGAAAATCCACCAAACCTCTGTCTCTTACAACTTGCGGTGGAATTTACCACTATAGAGAATGTTTAACTTTTTCTATCCCACAGAAAGAAAAGGATTGCATATCACCTGCGTATACATGTTTGAAATGCCGGTAAACCGAAGATATATTTCTGTCCTTCATATAGCTAGCCCCATTGAAATGTACCGAGATCCTAATGCAAAGAGACCTAGATGTGCATCCAACATACTGTATCATGCATGTGGTGCACTCAATAAGATAAATCACATTTTTAGTCGCACAATTAATAAATTGTTGGATTTTGTATTCTTTCCCACTGGATTGGGAAATACTGTTTTTGTGTTTTCTGCTGTGTTTACTGTAGTATCTACACATCCTAAGATCACAGCAGAAAGACTCAACAATGTTAGGCCAAGTGTTGTTTAAGGGAGAAGAAGTAAACAAACTTGGGAGTGATATATCACACAAAGTATTTGCATGCCTGCTGAAAAATCTGCATCCATCAGATATAATAGGCAAAAGATCTTTATCTGCTGACAGGACCGATAAATATTTTTGAATAATGTTGATCTGTTTGTATTCTTGCGAAAATGTAGTTACAAATGTAACAGATTTGCTACACTGGTAAAACGTCCATCTTTTTTGACAGTTTTATTCACCAAAGCTGATCTATTTTTCCTGGACACAATATCCATTGCTCTGTTGATATGCCAATGGCTATAGCCCCATTCCCTTAATCTATTTGAGACATTTCTACACTCCTGTGTGAAATCCACCTCCGTAGAACAATTCCATTTGGCTCTGGTAAATTCCCCCACAGGAACAGATTTAATAGTATGTGCCAAATGACAGCTTGTTGCAAAGTAGTAAGGAATGACCAGAGCACACTTTACGAAAGGTACGGGTGTTAACAATACATGTGGTGGAGTGACTCAGGGGATTAATGTCAAGAAAATAAATTCTGTTTGAACCACTATCAAAACTAAATTGTAAGTTTTTTAGATTGTTATCATTGATGTAAGAAACAAAAGAGGGAAGCGTACCATCTACATTATTCCGCACTAGTACAAGGTCATCGATGTACCTCCCATACCACATGATCTTGTCAGTAAATGGGCTTAAGTGGGAGAACAAAAAATGTTACTCCCACCATCCCATATATAAATTGGAGATGCAGAAAACATATCCCTCATGGAAGCATCCGTGCACTGAAGATAAAAAATCCAACCAAAAGTAAATAAAAGGTCAATAAAAAAATCTACCAACATAATTAAAGACTTCTTAAGTTCTGTGTATGAACTATAGTGCACCAGATGGAATTCCAAGGCCTCCAATGCAAGATCATGTGGTTTGCATGAATAAAGAGATTTAACATCTAATATGACCTCTATGAATGTATTCTTCCAGTGTATATCTTGGACATGTGCCAATACAGACAATGTGCCCTTTATTTAGCCTGGAAGTCTGACTACCAGTGGTTGCAAATGTTGGTCCATCCGAGCACCAAGTCTCTCCAAAAAGGTACCAATCCCTGCCACTATGGGGCGGCCTTTAATTGGAGTTTCTTTTTTGTGGAGCTTGGGTAGATGATGAAACACTGGAACCACCGAACAGTCAGGCATCAAATGCTCAGCTGTTTTAGGGGATAACACCCCTGTCTCCCATCCAAAATCCAAAAAAACGTGACAACTGTTCTTTAAAGACTGGTGTAGGGTCCATTTTCAGGGTCTCGTAGGTAGAGGTGTCATTAAGTTGGCATAAAGCCTCTAGTTTTTTAATCCTCTGAAGAAAGAATCACTACTGTTCCCTCTTGTCAGCAGCAAGTATAACTATCCTTAAGAGATTTCGGCCCATTGAGGGCTTCCCTCTCCGCTTTATTTAAGTTACCTCTGACATCGGTGGAACCAGCAAGCGATCTCTCCTTCAGATTAAAAGGTTCTTTCTCTACAAGGCTCTGAAATGTATCTACAGCAGTGCTCCTAGCCTGTATGGGTTAAAAAAACTTATTACCCCTATGTGTAGTGTCCAATTCTGAGCCAAACAAACCACCTGAAGAATCCGACTGTAATTTATCCAGAGCAGACCTGGCCATCAGGTCCTGAAACACAAATTGTCTACATCCTTCATACTATTAACGCTCTGAGGAGAAGACACAGCTGGTACCTCATCAGCGTGAAAGTGTTTTCTTAACAAAATATTTCAGTTAAATCTATTCACATCTAACAATGTATCAAAAATATCAAAATGGAAGACTGGAGTGAATGACAAGCCTCTGGAAAGCAAGGAGATTTCAGAAGATGTGAAGGAGAAACCGGACAAATTCACAACATTAGTAGTAGAATTGCTACCAATAATCACCTCACTCAGTCCTTCTTGGTTCTCACTTGCCCGGGGATACTTGTTTATGCTTGATCTTGTTGCCCCTTGTTTTTCTTTTTGGAGGGCACAGAAGCCCCTTGGTTTTTTGGGGTTTTAAAAAGTTCATCATCAGAGGCATCCCTAGTAAAGATTAAAGTGACTGAATCTCTTGAGGCAACAGAGGCTCCACCATCTGCAGCTCAGATTGAGTGTCTGGTTTATTAGGTGAACTGCAATTAACATGCATTTGATTCCTTCGTCCCATTTTTTCTTATTTTTGAGAATAGAATGTAGCCTCTCAGACTTGTTACGGACCTACACAGTATCCTGTTCATAGTCCTGAAGATCTCTTTGGTATTTATGCCTCTTAATAGCCATTATCTCTTGTTCCAATTTGTTAATGGACTCCGTCAGTTCATTATTTCTAATAGTATGAAGATCAAGTGATTGGTAGGATCTCTGAGTCCCTTAACAATTTCAATCTCCAGGTTAATGGTCCATAATAGAGCTTCCTTCTGTGTTACAATTAGATCCATCAGTTCCAATAAGCAGTTGGCATTCCAGTTAAAAAAAGACTAGGAATATACAGTGGAGGGAATCTTCTTAATTCATAAGCTCCTCGGGATTATAGCTTCACTGATGTACTTCTTGAAAAATTGGTGCACATATGGCGTCAGGAGGAAGAGTTGTTGGATCTCTGGTATAAAGCTGGGAGATCTTAGATTGGTGGTCCATGATCCCACACAAAATACGATCCTTGTTCAAAGAACTTGAACCCGAAGGTTCCAAGGTCACTGCCGTAGCCATTCCACAGTCAAGAAGCAAGGATGGTGAGTGCGGTTTATGTTGGTGTTGCACTGGTGGATGGTGGAAGCACATATCACAGAAGGATAATCAAATTTGTTATTGAAGCACTCTGGAGTTTGGGAGAAAGGACGTTGCATTGTTTGAATTGTTTTCGACACTAAGTTTTTTTTTTTTGTTTTTTTTTTTGACACTTTTATCCAATTAATAATTTTATATGTTTTATGATTTATATTATGTATAACATGTAAGTTATTTGGTTTAGGTATTGTTTTGCACTGTTTTCATTTGATAAACATATAAACCTATCCCCTGTCTACAGAGTCAATAGCTAAAAACCTCCAAACTTCTTGTGGCCTTCAGAGTTGCACAACAATTGTGCGTAGAGAGCCTTACATCACCAAGTGCAAGGCAAAGTGTCAGATGCAGTGGTGTAAAGCACGCCACCACTGGACTCTAGAGCAGTGGAGACATGTTCTCCGGAGTGACAAATCACTCTTCTCTGTCTGGCAGTCCAATGGACGTGTCTGGGTTTGGTGGTTTCCAGGAGAACGGTACTTTCCTGACTGCATTGTGCCAAGTGTAAAGTATGGTGGAGAGGGGTTATGGTGTGGGGTTGTTTTTCAGGGGTTGGGCTTGGCCACATAGTTCAAGTGAAAGAAACTCTTAAGGCGTGAGCATACCAAGACATTTTGGACAATTTCATGCTCCCAACTTTGTGGCAACAGTTTGAGATGGTTTCTTTTAGCTCGAGGAAAGAAACTAAAAGAAACTTTGTTTCTTTTAGCTTGAGGAAAGTGACATCATTCTCTGAGCTATATTGATAAAAAAAAAAAAAAAAAGCCGGGTAATTACTTTTAAAAACCAGCACTGACATGTAGTGACAGCCAGTTTTCGGCGATATGTTTTGGTGGCTGAAATTTCGGTGCATCCCTAGCAACGGTTTTAAAATAAAAAAAAACACTAAAGTTAATTGTGGGACACACACACACACACTTTTTTAGTAATATATAAAATATGAAGTTATCCCAAGTAAATAGCTACCCAGCATGTCAAGCATTAAAAATTGTGTGCACCCGTGAAACACTGAAAAAAAAATGTCAATACCCCATATTTTCCATAGGTAATGCTTTAAAAGCCCCTACAGGTCACCAGTTTAGCTTAGCCCATGAGCTCTGGTGCTGAAATTATTGAACTCACTTTGGCGTGCATGGTAATATGTAACGTGTAGTACAATTGCCATTTTTTCCGTAGTTACCCCAACTGTTGCATTTTTTAATATATGCCTGTGTATGTGGGTGTGAGGAGATGCATTTTTTTTTTTTTTTGTGGGGGGTGGGGGGTTGTGTGTTGTTTTTTTTTTTTTTTTTTATTTAATTCTCATGTGTCTTAATTTTTTTTTAACTTATGATTTTATTGCTATTACATAGGGGACCAATATTCCCTTGTGTAATAACATATAAGTGACAGGTCCTCTTTGTTGGGGGGGGGGGGGCAATGTGTGCAATAAGTGGGGCAGACGAGGAACAGTGTATGCAGTGTACACAGACAGGCTCCCTCACGTGCGCTTGTTGCCAGTTTTAAATGTGATTGCCAGCATTTTTTTCTTTACAGTGCTGAGAAGAAGCTTTCATTCGCCCCTGCTAAAGTAAAAAAAGGGGCAGTGCTATCCCCATGACCCCACCCCTTTGTTTACTTCAGTAGCACATGAATGACAGCTCCTTTGGCGCTATAACGTAAAGGTGAAAAAATCCGGCAATTACATATAAAACTGGCAATGTCAGCGCAACTGAGGGAGCCTGTCTGTATACACTGCTCCCTCACTGTATACACTGTTCCTCTCCTTTCCTGCCCCCCCCCCCCACATTGTCTGTAGTGGACACAGCCCCCAACCCCCCCACCCCCCCCACCCCCCCCCCCCCCCCCCCCCCATTGATTATTCGTCTTTACATAGAGATGCATTGATGTCCGCTGTCATCCCATGGATGAAATACAGACAGTCCGCAAGTGTGAAAGGGGCCTTAAAATCTGAACACCCTTTTTTGCACAGGCATCACAGGAAGTGAGGGAAAATTTCCTCAATGGGGTTACAGCAGGACTATAACAAAGTTAAATTCTTACTTTTCAAAAAGGGGAAAACGTGTATTTGGCTGGATTTGGGCTTTAATCTTCAGGATTCCTGTGATCTACTTTATGTGATATTGTCTCACACCCATAGTTACTTTGCATTGTGTAATGTCTGTGAAGTCTTCTGACCACACAAGTCAGGCAATCAAACTGTGCTGCAATTTCAAGCTTTGAACTGAAGCAGCTGGTGCATTTTCTTCCACTTTCCCACATCAGAACTTTTCCTATTATTATTTAGTTTATTGTTGTGCTGCCCCATTATAGCACTCTGTAGAGTAATAACAATCCTAATATGAAGTGTGTGATCCCCTCCCTGCCGTCCTTTATGCTCCTGGAACTGTCATCTTCTGGAAAAAGGATTCCCTATACTGTATATACCCACCTTTATCAGATGGTTCAGTAATTTCCTGACTGAAGCTGTAAGGCTGCTGTGACAGATTACCTGCAAAAGAGACAAATAATTGATGTAAAATCTCATCAGTATTCCAAGCCATGTTATTAGCGAAGCAAAATATGTAGAAGGCATATAAGATGTGAAAACTTGTAAATATGAGATGACTGAATGTCCATCTCCCTTTACATAGGTAAAAACGAGACTTGTATCAGTTCAGATCTCTTTTAGGCACTTGAGCTTATACTACTCTTTACTGCTTAGCACTCTTTACCTATATACTGTTTGTATTTTATTTGCACAGAGAAACTGAGACGGAGTCTTCCAAACCTCTCCAAGGCGACGAGCATTCAGACAACGGAGGCTGTGAAAAACAGCAGAAGTTGTGAGTCAAATCTGCAGGTGTCAAATGGAGGATCCTCTCGAGCACCGAGTACTTCCAGTAAGTGAAAATTGGTGTTGCATCACACTGCTTACTGAGTTATATATTATGAGATTTTATGTAATGACAGCAGGTTGGTAATGTGATCAAAGAGTGCTCAAATGTTAAAGGGGTTTTAGGGTTAGTGCCATTTTTCTCCCCACTAATTTGGTATTCTAAAAGTCCAATAGGAAAGTAAACTCAGGATGCCTAGATGACACATCTGTCAGCTTTCAATAATGTAGACATCCCTTAAAATGACATTACATGTGTTCAAGGAGTAGTGCTTTCAATTGGGATCACAGAGAGACGTTTGGCAGTCATTATCATTTATTACATTTTATTATATGTGATTAAGTTTCATCACGGCTATAGATTGTTGCTTGTGTAGCATGAAGGGACTTGCATCTCAGCTCCTCTGTTTTATTTGAAGCATTGATTGTATTTTCAAATTTCCCTACACTATGAGCAGGAAAAAATTGGCATCATAACATGCTGAAATATATGTACTCCTACTGGTGGTGTATTTCTAAATAAGTTTTGGCAGAGGAAAGGTTTACAAGAATAGAATCACATTTTTTTTACAAAGTAGTTGTAAAAGATGGAGACTCATTTGTGTTATTACACAGATGTGTCTTCAGCAGGGGTCACCTTAAGGCTAGGTTCACATCTGTGCGGGTGGTGCCGCTGCGGATCCGCACGAAAATCGTTGCAGCTGCACCACCCGCACAGAGGAATGCGGACCCGCGGGCGGGTGCCATTAGTTCTAATGGCACGCCGCCTGCACTGGAAAACGCAACCGTACTGGGAACCGCGGTTCCCGTGTGGGTTGCGTTTTCAGATGATGTGCAGGGACGACTTCTCTGCGTGGCACGGGAGGAGTCCATTCAAACGGCCGCATATATGTGAGCCAGGGGTTAGTTTAGGGCGGCAATGGAGCAGATGTTGATCTACCTTGATGTTCCCTCATGGCGAGTAAGATTTTGTCGTGAATAAAGTACCATTCTTTTATTTCACCTGTAACTCTTTTGCAAGTGTATGTCTAACAAGTATTTTTTATTTTATTTTTTATTTCTTTTTGGGGCACTGATAGATCTTTGCCTTATTTACAGTCCTGGTGACAACAGTTTCACCATACTGAAAGTGAGGGAAAATCTGCAACAGTGACATAGACCGCTTAAAAAAAGCTTTGGGTTCTAAACTTCTTTACTAGTTAAAAAAAAAAAAAAAAAAAAAAAAAGCTTCTTTATTCTTTTGTATTTTTTTCGTGTTCCAGATTTTCCCTGCTTCCAGTGTAACTTGTTACCAGGAGGGTAATTGAGGAAATATCTTTCTAACAGAGCCCCAGATAGCAATAGCAGTCCAAACCTGATAATAGATTTAAATCTGTCCTATATTATCCATGAAATTTGACGGGACATATTTTCACTTAAACTTGGGATGAAGCTAGGCAATTCAACTTGGTCATAGATCTAAAGATAGAAATGAGCTGAGCTTGGATCTGCCCTTGCATGAGCATCCATATTGGTCAGTGAGGCCAACCATGGCAAAAAAGAATCAGTAGCGATTATCAGCAGGGGACAAGACCCAGTTAAGATTTTACTGGAATCCTGTAGACTTGCTATTCACTCATATCTCTAGATCCACTGCTCAATCTGACATGAGGTGTCCACTGAAATTAACTTTTGCTCATGCATTTTTCATCGCTTGCGCAGTCGGATTTGCCTTGTGTGTCACAGGTTTATTTGAAATAGCTTTGTAGATACACCATTGCTGTTGCCTTCATTTTCTAGTTAAAAATAAACATATATTTTACATTTATGGTATTTCTGAAAATCTATTTTATTATTGCATGTGAAAATACATGAAATAGTATACTTTAGACTTACGGCGCAATGTTCTTATTTGGTGTGCATGTGTGCCTGCCAGCTGCTGTGGTGCATGTGCCCAGTTATGCAGTCTGCTCCCCTCTGTGCTTCTCACTGATATTTGAACTGAGAAGGGCTCTGGTATAGTTAACTTTGTGCAACTTGTACTTGGTTTATGTTATGTTTGCAATAAAAGCTATGCCTGTGAGGTAGTATTCGCCTTTTTGGCACTTTTTGTTTACACATGACAATCTTGCTAGAAAATTTCTTAGAACCCCCAAACATATATTTTTTTAAGCAGCGGCCCTAGAGAATAAATTTGTGGGTTTTGCAATTTTTTTATGCCGCACAGTGTTTTTTCAGCGGTTTTTCAAATGCAAAAACACAATACATAACCCACTTTTTTGTAAAATATAAAAGATTTTGTGGCAAGTAAATTTACCAAACCTGTCATGCTTTAAAATTGTGCACGTCCGAGCAATGGTGGCAAACAACATAACTTTTTTGATCCATAGGCGACACTTTAAAAGTCTTTACAGGTTACCACTTTAGATTTAAAGAGGAGGATTGGTGTAGAATTACTGCCCATGATTTGACATTCACGGTGATACCTCACATGTGTGGGACGATTGTTGTTTGCATGCATGCAGAACCAATGCATGCATTACCTTTGTGCACAAGCATGGGGGGGGGACACTGAAATTTTATTTTTTTTATTTTTTTTACACTGTTGCTTTAAAAAAAAATACCTTTTTTTGGATCACTTTAATTGCTGTCACAAAAAAAAATGTAAACATCCCTTATGACAGCAATAGGCCTGTCTCAAGTACTCTTTATGGAGGGATCTGGGGTCAATTAGACCCCAAATCCCACATCTGCCCTCAAAAGCATTCAATCACACCAAGATCAGTGTGATTGAATGCTTTTATTTTTTAAAAATGGAGTCTTGTATTTCCACGTGAACCGGAAGTGATGTCAGGTCACCACTTCTGGGTTACCATTTAACAGAACCGAACAAAGCGAATCCGGTCTTTATGTGGCTTTATAACCAGCCAGTGGTAGTGCCGGCTGATCAATCGAGATTCTTAAAGAGAATCGAGATCCTGTTAAAGCCATGAGAAGGAGGGGGCTTCCCTTCCCGCTGCTTGTAATAGTAATCGAGTGGCTAGTTAGCTGCTCCGATTGCTATTATAAGAAATTTGACTGTCGGCTCTGCAAAAAAACAGTACTGGGATGATACCTGCAATGCGGGCATCATCCCGGTATAACCACTTGAAGTTCAATGATGTACCAGGTACCGTATTTTTCGCTCCATAAGACGCACCTGACCATAAGACGCACCTAGGTTTTTGAGGCGAAAAACAAGAAAAAAAATATTCTGAACCAATGGACTGCAGGCACAGTACAGGGGATGACCAGAGACTGCGGACACAATACAGGAGATGACCAGAGACTGCGGACACAGTACAGGAGATGACCAGAGACTGCGGACACAGTGCAGGAGATGACCAGAGACTGCGGACAAAGTACAGGGATGACCAGAGACTGCGGACACAGTGCAGGAGATGACCAGAGACTGCGGACACAGTGCAGGAGATGACCAGAGACTGCAAACAGTGCAGGGAATGACCAGAGACTGCAAACAGTGCAGGGGATGACCAGAGACTGCAGACAGTGCAGGAGATGACCAGAGACTGCAGACAGTGCAGGAGATGACCAGAGACTGCAGACAGTGCAGGAGATGACCAAAGACTGCAGACAGTGCAGGGAATGACCAGAGACTGCAGACAGTGCAGGGAATGACCAGAGACTGCAGACAGTGCAGGAGATGACCAGAGACTGCAGACAGTGCAGGAGATGACCAAAGACTGCAGACAGTGCAGGAGATGACCAAAGACTGCAGACAGTGCAGGGAATGACCAGAGACTGCAGACAGTGCAGGGAATGACCAGAGACTGCAGACAGTGCAGGGAATGACCAGAGACTGCAGACAGTGCAGGGAATGACCAGAGACTGCAGACAGTGCAGGGAATGACAAGAGACTGCAGACAGTGCAGGGAATGACCAGAGACTGCTGACCTTTGGTGAGGGAGGGGGAGCGGGTACCTGAATTTGACAGGTACCCGCTCCCACTTCCGCGGAGTTGTCCTTCGCTCTTCTTCCCGGGCTGGCTTCTGTGACAGCCGGGTGCCCACTGCGCATGCGCGAGAAGCGCTGCGCTTTGTGAATGGCCCGGCGCCTTCTGGGACCTGTCGTGTCCCAGAAGACACCGGATCATTCACAAAGCGCAGCACATGCGCAGTGGGCACCCGGCTGTCACAGAAGCCAGCGCAGGAAGACTGTGCAGCGCTGGAGCGAGGAACAGGTAAGGCCCTGCAGGAGAGAACAGCTGAGTGGCCGGCCCGGTATTCTGACATGGTGGCTGCAGAAATACCAGACCGGCCGCTTTAAATTCGTTCCATAAGACGCACTGACACTTTCCTCCCTTTTTTTGGGGGAAAAAAGTGCGTCTTATGGAGCGAAAAATACGGTATGTGACTGGTCGACAAGTGGTTAATTTGTGATAGACTTTTTTATTCAAATTTTTAATTTTATTTTTCTGTCTTATGTTTCAATATATTCGTATTCATCTGAATAAATTGACCAATGAATATCAGAATTCCAGGTATTTATTTAGGGCAACACATTACTTGATCTAATCAGCCTTCTCCTGCACAGGCGTAGCATGAGTCCTGGTTCCAGTCTACACACAAATATATAATGACAGTCCTTTGACCTCTGTGAGTTAAACTTCCATTGATCTTTCTTTAGCTTCATGACACTTCCATAGATCAGTTTCTAGATCTTCTGGTCTTTAGAATCCACCCACTTGGCAGACAGAAGGCAGCTTACCCTTGTACTCCCTTGGCCAGACCCAAAATAGGTTCTTGGCAGATTTTGAGACAAAGTGTGGTAATCTAAGGCAAGAGCAAACATTCAGTTATGGGATGCAGAGAACAACGGGTACCCTCTTTGGGGTCATTTTGCCATAAGCACCTGTGGGTTTGGTTTTCAAGAAAAGGGAGATGCAACTTGTAAATTGATATGATCTTGGTGATCAGGTGAAATCAAGTGAAAGAAGATTACTTACAATGGGGAGGGTGCCAGAAAACACAAGGGATCTACAACCTAGCTTGAAGAGTTTGTGGAGAACATATCGTCTCCATGCAGACACTTTTTCCATTAGTGTATATTGGCGCTCAGTATGCCAGGTCCTTTTCACTTTCACTTTTTTTGGAATTGCTATGCCATTCAGAGCTCTCCCCAGCTCTCCTTTCTCATTTTTTTCTTCTATTTTTCTCCTGCTTTTGGAGAAATGTTTCAGATGTCTGGGTAATAGCTGACCATGTATTTGTATGTACTAGATGTCTGTTTATTGACATTCGTTATTTGAAATTTCAAAGATTTACCTAATACTACTTATTAGTGGCAAACCTTAATAGCTGCTTTCACCCTGAACTATTATTTCCACCACGCTTCTATACACACCCAGTTTTTTTTTATTCTAGGCTTCACCAGCTTCTCAACCCACTATGAATCATAACATTTTATGTTATGCATTCTCACTTTAATATCCTCACCTAATTAACTCCATGTTCCACAAAAATATTTTTTTTTTTTTTTTTAAAGAAATGTAATATTTCCTTGTGTTCCTACAGCATCAAAAAGGCAGATAAATATGCCACGTACAACCCAGAAAGCAAAACAGGTTGTTGCAGGCCCTAAAGGAGGTAATGTTGAGACACTACAATGTTCACAGATGTGTTCAGTGTAGCACGAAGTCAAGACGAGAGGAATTTATTAAACCTGGACCAACCAGAATCTGAAGCAGCTGTACATGGCAACCAATCAGCTTTTAGCTTTTATATGCAAAGCCTAAATAAACAGACTGAAGTTAAAAGCTGACAGGTTATTATACACAGGTGCTCCAGATTTGGTGTGTTCCAGTTTAATAAATTCCCCCATGGTCTTTGGGTGTAGTTGATTGGGCTGCGCAGACCCCTGGAAGATAAAACTGCTTTGGGGCCTGTGTTGACAGACTTGGGGCTTATGTCAAAGGTTTGAGATACTTCTGAGATCATTCAAAATACATTAACAGGTACTGTACATCTGATTGCTTCAAGCAGGTATTGTATTCCTATAGAGTTGTATGAGAATTCAGTGCCTTTCTGACAAAAACAAAAGCCTGTCAATACAGGCCCCTCCCCAGTAGTAGAACTTTATTTCTACAACAAACAGTCCAGAGCTACTGATCTCCTACCCTAACAGAATCCATTAGATATCTTCTATTTGTACATTTTTTGAGAAGGCTGAATATTGGTTTGTGCTTAGTTTCTGTGGAAAAGACCCAGCTACTAAGTAAACCTAATGATCTGTAGACCATCTCTTCTTTCCTGACCCCATTTATGTTTATAGTCAGGGCCTCTAGGAGGGGAGTACACTGCAGCCTGCCTCCTGACTTATTATTAATACCATGAAGAATGATTTCTAGCAGCCTGTAGTAACCTTTATCACTTATATTTTGTCAATTTAGAGTGAGCAGAACAATGAATTTGAATAGCTGTTATAACTGTGTTGTGGTTTACTGCCTTATTCATTTTAGCAGTGCGGATGGCAGTACTGATGACCAAACTCTCTAGTGAGCAATGCCAATCATTGGATGTCCCGTTACTGATGGCCAAATACTGACAAAGAATATTTTTTTGGCTACAGTGTATCACTGCACTTTTAAGATTGCCCTTTGTTTAAAGTGATACTAAGCATTCAGTTTTTTTTTCTTTAAAATAACAAACCTGTCATACTTACCTGCTCTGTGTAATAGTTTTTGCACAGAGCAGCCCCGATTCTCCTCTTCTAGGGTCTCCCACCAGCGCTCCTGGCTCCTCCCCATCACCCATGCGTGCTCACTCCTGAGCCAGCCTTTTGTGTCCATAACACACGCAGAGGATGGCTTGGCCCAATCCCTGTTCCTTTTTCACTAGCTGTGACTGACAGCAGCAGGAGCCAATGGCTGCTGCTGCTGTATCTGAGCCAGTGAGGAGTCAGAAAGGGGGGGGAGGGAGCCTCGGCTCTCATGCACATCGCTGGATCATGATGGTGCTTGGGTAAGAATAATAAGGGGGAGCTGGGGGGGAAACTAGATGCAGAAAGTTTCTTTACCTTCATGCATAGAACGCTGGAAGGTAAAAAGCCTTCTGGCTTTACAACCACTTTAACTACCTAAGCCAGGAGAGTCAATGTTAAGAGAGAATGAGCTCCTGAATGCAGTCAGGAGTGTAGTTCACCTGCATTCTAAATTAACTTCAACCATGCTGATTAGCGTGCTTGTAGTTAATTGACTCCTGCAGCTCAGTAACGGGATTCCCCTATGGAAGTATGGGCAGAGAGCTGTACTGAGTGGCTGCAGGAGCCTGATATTGCACCCACAATCCACTGGACGTGGCCGCAATGCTTTGCAGGCTGCAGTTTAAAAAGTAAAAATAAGTGCACATTTTTTTTTACCTGCAAAATCATGTGCCTTTATTATTTTTTTTCCTGAAGGTGAAATTGGGCTTAAATGTTACTTATACAGGCTGTTCATGTTTTGAGATGAATACTTCTAAGGTGGTTGCAAACAAAAGTGCTGAGTAGAAGCATGCATTCTGAATTGACGTATCAGTGTTGCCTGTGTTGTCATATTATCAGTAAGAGACTGTAAGATGAGGATACATTTGCCGTTTTCATGTTCCTCACCATTTTTCTTCAGTGCCCTTAAGACAGTCTTACCACATGATTTGTTTTATTTGCCATCTGTTCTGCAAATATTTTATTACATTTACCAAGCAGAATATGAATCTATGCAACTCTGGATTCTCACAGCTACTCTTCTCTGCTTGTTTGTGAAAGCGATTTTACTGATCATAGAATGGAGAGAATGCTGACAGTTGGTGTAAAAGCTGTACTAACCATTTTTTTTTTTTCTCCCTGGACAGTACCTTCCCCTTGCAAGTTCCGCTCCCCTGCAGCACCCTCTCCACTGGCATTACGGCAGCCTATGAAGGCTTTGTCTAATCATGGTTCTCAACTTGCACAAGAAGCAACCTCTGTTGCACAGAACATCCCTCAAGCAGGGCCACCTCCTAGCCAGCAGTCTGGCTCTTCAAGTCCCGTTGGACGAGCCAGCACGCCAATGAGGAGTGGACTGCCCAGACCTAGCACACCTTCAGGAGGAAGTATACCAGTGCCTCGCAGCAAACTTGCACAGCCTGTCCGCAGGTAACTGTTAGAAGACACTTTCGTAGTGTTAGGTTTACTAAGTAAAGCAAAGGTTACTGAAAAAAAACACAGCAATTCTGGCAACCAATGAGAATCTATCTTTCATGTGATCTCAGGCAACTAAAATCTGGCTGCTGTAGGTTAATTCCCCTTACACTTATTTATTATTCTGTTTATGCTTTATTAAATAAACCTTTTTTGACTAAAAATCACATTCAGATTGTATTTCTATCACTTTGTTATGAAACAAAATGTGTTGATAAATACACCAATCAGCGAAAACATTATGACCACTGACAGGTATAGTGTAACACTGATTATCACGTTACAATGAAAGTGGGTGGCATATATTAGGCAGCAAGTGAACATGTTGTCCCTGAAGTTGATGTGCTGTAATGGCTAGATAACTGGGTCAAAGTATCTCTAAAACTGCAGCCCGTGGGGGAGGTTCCTGATCTTCAGTGGTCAGGACCTAACCAAAAGTAGCCCATGTAGTCTGATCAAATCGAAGAGCTACTGTAGGTCACATTGCTGAAATAGTTAATGATGGTTCTGATAGGTGTCAGAACACAGTGCATCACAGTTTGTTGGTTATGGGGCTGTGCAGCCATAGAGTGTCCATGCTGACCTTTGCCCAAGGCGACTACAATGGGCATGTGAGCATCAGAACTGGACCATGGGGCAATGGAGGAAAATGGCCTGGTCTGATGATTTCCAGGAGGAGTTTGATGTGTTGACTTCAAGTTTTCCAGATCTTAATCCAATTATGCATTTGTGGGATATGATGGAAAAACAAGTCCGTTTCAAGGAAGCTCCACCTCCCAATTTATAGGACTGTAAGGATCTGCTACTGATGGCTTGGTGCCAGATACCACCGCATACCTTCAGAGGTCTGGTGGAGTCCATGCCTCAACGGCTTATGGTGGGTGGTCATAATGTTATAGCTGATTGGTGTATATTTACAGTGGCTGTACCTAGTCTTCATTTATATTGCGGAGTGATGCAATTAGTGTGTTAGGAAAATCAAATCCACACTGTACACTGCTGCCTAATTTAGCTTTACAGCTTACTGTGTCACTCGATGTTCACTGGACAGAAGTATTCTTGCCAATTTAGTATCTAGTGAGCTAGCTGGAAACAGGGCAGTAGCAAAAGATGCTTCATAGCTGAAACAGGAAACATATACTACCTTCCCAGCTGTGCAGTGTGCTAGATGAATCACAAGACTTGCAGAGCAGACTTTCAAATCTTTTAACCTTTTCACTGCAAGGTCTGTACAATGTACGTACCTACAGTACTGCTTTCAGCAGGCCAGGTCTGTATGCTGTACAGATCTACATTCCTCCTCTGCTATAAGCTCATGGCCACTTCAGTTTCCTGATCCTCACCAGCAGCCCCTATCGACTACACCCTAAGCTCACACTTTCTGCATTCAGGGCCATGCGTCCACACCCACGCAGATGTTAGTTTGGAAGAAGCAGCTGTGCCTGTGCAGCCGCTGCATCCCAATTGACATGAATGGGACTGCCTGCACAGGGATGCAGAGAACACCTGGGTGGGTATACACAGCCCTCTATGGGCATACACTTTAGTATGCCCCATGTGAATGAGGCCTTAGTAGAATTTTGTAAGTTATGTTGTGTTTGTATACAAAAATAATGAATTTAGTGTATTTTTTGTGAAAATGGTTTATAAACATTTGCGCAACTATTGCAGGGCTTGAAGAATCAGTATCACTTTTTTTTTATATTATACAGGTCATGTTCTTTCAGAATATGTATGGTTTGGGGGGTCTTTTACAAATTCTGAAAGCTGTAAGTGAAAAATAACCTCCAGATTTTTTAGAGTAAACTGGTTTTATTGTCAAACTCTCCGCATCTATACGCCCTGATGTGAAACCTTTCACCTCCCTCAATTGGCCAGCACTCCTCTCACCCTCCTAATATGCCACCTGTACTCCTCCTCCTCGTACTCCTCTCCTCCGTTCCCAAAATCTCCTCCCTCTACCCCCCTACTACTCTCCCCCAAAACAACTTTACATCAGACTCTCACTACTTCATCTCCCCTCTGCGGCTCTCACCACCTCCTCCTGATACTCCACTCTCCCACTGACCCACACACCACCACTAACAGACCTACACGCTCTTGCACATCCCACTCCCATGCCACCTTTCTCACCCTTCTCCTAACCGCCGGGGATATCTCCCCGAACCCTGGCCCCTCACCACCTCACTCACCCACTAGGCACCCTCCTACTCCCACAAACCTCCGCAACCCGCTCAACCTTATACCTGTCCCCCTCCTCCCCGCATCCACCCCTCCACTCTCGGTTGCACTCCTGAACGCCCGATCGGTTTGCAACAAGCTCACCGCCATCCAGGCAGGGTCACACCCGGCGACCCTGCCTGGGAACTGCTTCAGGCCTCCCAGCACCCTGCGGGCCACCCTGCACCAGCCAGCCCCAGACCAGGAACCTTTCCAGGACAACGCCGCACCTCCGCTACCTGCATCGAGGGGATTCCGTAAAACCATGGGTCTTTTAATGCCGTTCCAGATATTGCAATGCATTGTTGATGAGGATTCTCCCGTCCTCCCCATCTCTTGGCCTTTGCTTGGCAACTCGAAGTCCAAGCTCCCAGCTAACACCCCTGGACACCCAGCACCCAGCTACCGGGTACCCAGCTACCACCCCGGACACCCAGCACCCAGCTACCGGGCACCCAGCTACCACCTCTGGTCACCCAACACCCGGACCACCCAGCGAATCGAGACGTCGCCCAGCGAATCGAGACGTCGCCCAGCGAATCGAGACGATCGCCCAGCGAATCGAGACGTCGCCCAGCGAATCGAGACGTCGCCCAGCGAATCGAGACGTCGCCCAGCGAATCGAGACGTCGCCCAGCGAATCGAGACGTCGCCCAGCGAATCGAGACGTCGCCCAGCGAATCGAGACGTCGCCCAGCGAATCGAGACGTCGCCCAGCGAATCGAGACGTCGCGCCCAGCCCAGCGAATCGAGACGTCGCCCAGCGAATCGAGACGTCGCCCAGCGAATCGAGACGTCGCCCATCGAATCGAGACGTCGCCCAGCGAATCGAGACGTCGCCCAGCGAATCGAGACGTCGCCCAGCGAATCGAGACGTCGCCCAGCGAATCGAGACGTCGCCCAGCGAATCGAGACGTCGCCCAGCGAATCGAGACGTCGCCCAGCGAATCGAGACGTCGCCCAGCGAATCTCCCACCGGACCACCCAGCGAATCTCCAGTCACCGAGCCGCCAGCATCACCAGACGCCTTGCCTGCCAACGCCCCCCAACATCGCACCCTACGTCCCCTCCACTCGCCGATCCACCAGACCCACTGAAGCCCCCTCGGACGCCAGCATACTGCACCCACAGATTGCAGCCAGCCAGCTGCTGGACTCTACTCCCACTCTCCCCCTACAGAAGGACTCTAGTGGACTCCTCCACGGTGATATAGACTCTCCACATCACCTCGCCCTGACCCGTATCCCTTCACCTCCCCTGTCCCGAACAGCACTGCACTCACCCCAGCATGCCACCTGCACTTCTTCTCCTCGTTTTCCTCTCCTCCATCCCAAAAATCGCCTCCCTCTACCCGCCCACCCCCCCCAAAACAGCTCTACATTGCCCCTTCACTTCTGCCCTCTCTCCACTACGGCACTCACCACCTCCTCCTGGTACTACTCCACTCCTCGGTCGATCTAGCCCCACGTGCCACCACTACCAGACCCACACGCTCCTGCACCCTCCCATTCCCATGCCACCCTCCTCACCCTTCTCCTTCTCCTATCCGCTGGGGACATCTCCCCGAACCCTGGCCCCCTCACACACCTCTCCCCCCCTCCAGGGACCCCCCTGCTCCCGCCAGCCGCCGCAACCCCCCTCAACCTCATACCTGTGCACCTCCCCCCACATCCATCCCCCCTCTCTCGGGTTGCACTTCTGAACGCCCGCTCGGTTTGCAACAAACTAACTGCCATCCATGACCTCTTTATCTCCCGCTCCCTCAACCTCCTAGCCATCACCGAAACCTGGGTACAGGCCACCGACTCTACCTCCCCTGCGGCACTCTCTCATGGAGGTCTCATCTGGTCCCATTCACCAAGACTGGGCGGTCACAAAGGTGGTGGTGTCGGCCTGCTCCTATCACCGCTGAGCACCTTCCAGGTCCTCCCTAACCCCCCCCCCTCCCTAACCTTCTCCTCCTTCGAGACTCACTGCATCCGGCTCTTCTCACCCACCCCCTTAAGGATCGCAGTGATCTACAGGCCCCCCGGATCCATAGCCCGCTTCCCTGGATGACTTCGCCGCCTGGCTTCCCTTCTTCCTCTCCTCTGAGCTACCGACCATCATCCTCGGGACTTCAACATCCTCCCCCCATCAACGACCACAACCCCAGCTACCTCTCAACTCCTCCACCTAACCACCTCCTTCGCCGCTCACACCACACACACTCAATCCTCCACCCACATCAATGGGAACACCCTGGACCTCGTCTTCTCCCACCTCTGTACCCTTAACCACTTCACTAACACCCCCTTCCCTCTCTCCTACCCCGACCACCACCTCCTCACGTTCTCCATCTCCCCTTCCCCTAACTCCCCCCCCCCAGTGCGCCAAACCATCACCAGCCGCAACCTCCGCAACCTGCACCCGCCCCCCCTCCACTCTCCGCTGCCGACCGCTTGCACGACAGCATCCTTCCACTGTCATGTCCTGACCTAGCCACCACCACCGCGTACAACGACTCACTATCAGCCACCCTAGACTCCTCTGGCACCCCTACCCACCACACGCAACATCAAACCCAGACCGCTCCAACCATGGCAGAACGACCACACTAAATGCCTCCAAACGTCGCAGTCGTGCGCGCTGGAGAGACTATGGCGCAAAACCAGGTCCCCTCATGCATTCTCCCTCTACAAATCTGCCTTCCTCACCTACACCTCCTCCCTCCACGCCGCCAAGCAGGCCTACTTCGTTGACCTGATCAACACCCTCTCAAACTGCCCCTCGCCGACTCTTCTCCACCTTCAACTCCCTGCTCTCTCCCCCCCCCTCCTCCACTCAGTACCCTCACTTACCGCCCACGAGATGCCACTCATCTCCATAGCAAGATTGACGCAATCCGCAAGGACATAGTCAACTTGCAGTCTCCTCCTCCCCATCTAGCCTCCCCCCTTCCATCACCCTCTCATCTCTCCCCTCCTCTGACCTTGCAACGGCACTGCCCCCCACCACACCCAAGGCCCCCTGCCTACCGCCCGTTCCACCCCCCCCCATCACCTGCACGGCCCTTCAGCCCCTACTACCACTGAGGAAGTCACCAGAGTCTTCTCAGAAGCCCGCCTCACTACCTGCCCCCTGGACCCTATCCCCTCTCAACTCCTCCGGTCCCCCCCTCTTCCCCCCCTCATCCGCTCCCTTACCCACATCTTCAATCTCTCCCTCGCTACTGGCGTCTTCCCCTCCCCCCTAAAACATGCGCAATCACCCCCATACTCAAAAAGCCCTCCCTGGACCCCACTGACCTCATCAACCCCTCAGACCAATTTCCCTGCTGCCACTCATGTCCAAGCTCCTTGAGCGCTTGGTCTACGATCGCCTAAGCGCCCCACCTAACTGACAACAACCTCCTTGACCCACTACAGTCCGGCTTCCGTCCCCTACACTCCACCGAAACTGCCCTCCCTCCTCAAAATCACCAACGATCTACTAACCGCCAAAGCCAAAGGCGACTACTCTGTCCTCCTCCTCCTAGACCTCTCTGCGGCTTTTTGACACAGTCGACCACCCCCTCCTCCTTAATAAACTACTCTCCCTTGGCATCAGAGACTCCGCTCTCTCTTGGTTCTCGTCCTATCTATCCCAACGCTCCTTCAGCGTTTCCTACAACGGCGCCCCACCATCCTCTTCCCTCCCCCTCTCTGTTGGGGCCCCCCAGGGCTCTGTCCTTGGAACCCCTTCTCTTCTCCATCTACACTTCCTCCCTTGGCAAACTCATACATCTCCCACGGCGGCTTCAACTACCACCTCTATGCTGATGATACTCAAATCTACCTACCCACCCCCCCTCACCCCCAAATCTCTCCCCCCCCATCACTCACACTCCTTTCCTCTACCTTTTACCCGCATCATCACCACCCCTAAAACGACATCTCTTGACTGGATGTCGCTCCATCCATTTTTCCTCAATCACTCAACCTCTCCAAAACCGAGCTCTTCTCGTCATGTCTGGACTCGTCCCCCTTCCCCCTTCCCCCCCCCCCCCCCATCCTTTACCCCATCACTACCAACAACACCACCATCAATCCCCCCCAGCAAGCCAAGGTCTTTGGCGTCATTCTGGACTCAAACCTTTCCTTCCAACCTCATGTCAAATCACTCACAAATACATGTCAGCTCCCTCCACCTTCGCAAGATCGCCAAATTCAATACGCTCCTTCCCTCCCCCCCAGACGACCACTAAACTACTCCCGTTCACATACCCCCTGATTTTCTCACGCCTGGACTACCTGCAACTCCCTCCTCATCGGCCTACCCCAGTGCAAACTCATCCCCGCTTCAGACCCATCCTGAACGCATCAGCTGCCAGACTCAATCCACCCTCACAGCCGGCAGCCGCTCCCACCTCTGCCCCCCCCCCTCCGCCTCTCCCTCCACTGGAGCTCTCCCCATTGCCCAACGCATTATCCCTATTCAAACTGCTCACTCTGACCTAAAAAGGCCATTCACAACAGCCTGACCCCTAACTACCTCACCCGACCTGATTCCCAAGTACCACCCTACCCGTCCAACCCTTCGCTCTTCACAAGGACCTCCTTCTCACTTGCCTCCCTGTTCTCCTCCTCCACACGCACGACTGCAAGACTTCTCCAGTCCTCTCATCCCATCCTCTGAGGAGGAACTCACTACCCATGCTCCATCAGACTTACTGTTCGCCTTCCCGCCTCCTCACCTTCAGGCTCTCCCTGAAAACCCACCTCATCAGGGAACCTACCCCACCCTCACCTAACAGCCGCTGCCCCTTCCCACCTCCTACCACTCCATCCCCCACAGCCATTTTCCTCCTGTAACCAATCGTAACCCCCCTCCCAACCTAGATTGTAAGCTCAAAAGACTCTAGGGCCCTCTTACCCCTTGTGTGCTGTTTGATGTTACTGTACTGTTTCATGTCCAACTAATTGCCTTGAGACTCGTTAACCCCCCCCTAATGTACAGTGCTGAGCAAACCCTTTTGGCGCTATAATAAACTCATAAATAAATAAATAAATAAATAAATAAAATCCATGACCTCATTATCCTCCCACCCCTCCCTCCTCCTCCCTCTGTCCTCAACGCGGTCACTGAAACCCTGGATCCAAGCCACTGACTCCACCCTCCCCTGCGGCACTCCCCCCTGTGGAGGTCCTACCCGTCTGTGTCCCATTCACCCAGACCTTCCGGTCGTAGAGGTGGTGGGGTCGGCATGCTCTTGTCACTGCTGAGCACCTTCCAGGTCCTCCCAAAACCCCCCCCTCACCCCTCCACCCTCTATCCTTCTTCTTCGAGGCCCATCACTGCATTCAACTACCCCTCTTCTCTCCCCACCCCTCTGAGATGATTGCACATCTATTCCTTCCTGGACCCGTATCCCGTATCCCGCTTCTTCCTCGACGCTTTTCAGCCTGGCTACCCTTCTTCCTCTCCTCTGACTACCCACCATCATCCTTCGCCCCTTTAATATTTCTACACAATGTCAACAACCCGGCTACAACCTTCCAACTCCTCCACTTAACCTCTTCTTTAACCACTCACACAGTGCACACAGTCCTCCACCCACACTGAAACGGGAACACCCTGGACTCGTTCGTTTTTTTCCCATGCTTGTTAAACCATTATCAACCGCAACCTCCGCAACCTGAACCCCCGGCCCTTTCCTCCACCCTGCAGCTAGGCCATCTGTACGACCGTATCCTTCCACTGTCATGCCCTGACCTGGCCTCTGCTGCGTTTAAACGACTCGCTGTCAACTGCCTTAGACTCCTTAGCACCCCTAACCACATGTAGCATTTCTCTTTCAACCCCGACCGCCTTCAACGCTGGCAAAGAAGACCACACTAAAAATCTTACACACCACGATGCAGTCGCGCACTGGAGCGATCCGCCTTTGGCACAAACCAGATCCCCCCGAGCGTTCTCCCTTTACAAATCCACCTTTCCTCACCTACACCTCCCCCCCCCTCTATGCCGCCAAACAAGCCTACTTCGTAACCATCATCAACACCCTCTCCACCCTGTCCCTCCGCCGGCTCTATCAACACCTATACTCCTCCCCTCCCCACCCCCGACACCCCCCCCTCCCCCCCCCCCCCCAACTCCACCCCCCAGTACCCTGTACAACTTTCACTCACCGCCCACGCAGAGATTGCCAATCACTTCCAAAATAAGATCGATGCAGTCCGTAAGGACATCGCCAATGCTCAATCTCCCTCCCCCACCTAGCCTCCCTTCCACTGATAACCCCATCAACTCACCCCTCCACTGACCTCGCAACTGCCCTACCCCCCCACCACATCTAACACCCCCGCACTTATAACCTCCCCAACACTCCTCTCCTAGCCCATTGGACACCAGCCTTGCTACCACTGAGAAGGTACCACTAAGGTCTTCTCAGAAGCCCATCCCTCCCCATGACTGAAATTTTGCTCCTCCAAACAGTTCACCCCCCCCTCCCCCCGCTTGCCTCACCCTGGGTGCTTCCCCACAAAACCCCTCCCCCCCCCCCCTCCTCCCCCCCCTCCCCCTCACCTCCACATCTTCAATCTCTCTTCTCTCTACTTGGCGCATTCCCCTCCCCCCTAAAGCACGCGCACATCACCCCCATACTCAAAAAACCCCTCCTTGGACCCCTTTGACCTGAACAACCTTAGACCCATCTCCTTGCCTGCCATTTACATCCAAGCTCCTTGAGCGCTTAGTCTACAATCGCCTAAGCTCCCACCTCGCTGACAACCTCCTCGATCCACTACAGTCTGCCTTCCGTCCCCTACACTCCACCGAAACCGCCCTACTCAAAATCACTAATGACCTGCTAACCGCCAAAGCTAATGGCCACTACTCAGTCCTCCTACTCCTCGACCTTTTCCGCGGCCTTCTACACAGTTGACCACCCCCCTCCTCAATAAACTACACTCCCTTGGCATGAGAGACTCTGCTCTCCTCCTGGCTCTCCTCCTATTTATCCCAACGCTCCTTCAGCGTTACCCTATAACGCTACCACCTATACCCTCCCCCTCTCTCCTCCTCTCTGTTGGAGTCCCCCAAGGCTCTGTCCTCGGGCCCCTTCTCTTCTCCATCTACACCTTCTCCCCCGGCAAACTGATACACTCCCACCCGGCTTCAACTATCACCTCTACACCGATGACACGCAAATTTACCTCTCCACCCATCACCTCACCCCTTCAGTCTCCGCCCATATTGCCCACCTACTGAACGACGTATCAGACTGGATGTCGCTCCATTTCCTCAAATTGAACCTTTCCAAAAACCGAGCTCCTAATCTTCCCCGCAGCCCGCGACCCCCCCCCCCCCCCCCCATCCTCTCCATCACGACCAACAACGCCACCATCAGTCCCACCCCGCAAGCAAAAGTCCTTGGTGTCACTCTAGATTCAAACCTGTCCTTCCAACCCCATGTTCAATCTTTGGCAAACTCATGCAGCTCCACCACCGCAACATCTCCAAAATACGAACGTTCCTAACCCCAGACACTACTAAACAACTCATTCACTCCCTTATTATCTCACGTCTGGACTACTGCAACTCCCTTCTCACCGGCCTACCCCAACACAGGCTATCCCCGCTTCAGTCTATCCTGAACTCAGTGGCCAGACTCCTCCACCTTACCAACTGCTCCACCTCTGCCACCCCCCTCTGTCATTCCCTGTCACCCCCCTCTGTCATTGCCCAACGCATTAAATTCAAAATACTAACACTGACATACAAAGCCATTCATAACGCTGCCCCAAAATTCCTCACTGACCTGATACCCAAATACCACCCAACCCTTACTCTTCCCTCCTCACAAGACTTCCTACTTTCTAGCTCCCTGGTCTCCTCCTCCCACGCCCGACTGCAGGACTTCTCCAGGACTTCCCCCATCCTCTGGAACTCACTACCCCAATCCATCAGACTGTCACCTACCCTCCTCACCTTCAGGCGCACCCTGAAAACCCATCTCTTCAGGGAAGCCTACCCCCCACCCTCACTAACAGCCAATCTCCTCCTACCACTCCATCCCCCACAGCCACTTCCTCCTGTACCACTATCCCCTCCCTCCTAGATTGTAAGCTCGAAAGAGCAGGGCCCTCGAACCCCTCGTGTATTGTTTTTTGTTACTGTATTGTCTCATGTTCTGTCCCCCACTATAATGTACAGCGCTGAGCAAACCTTTTGGCGCTATATAAATACTGTATCATAATAATAATTTACAATTTGGCTCACCTTCAGTTTTCACCATTTAACAAAAAGGCACAATTTAAAATTAAAAAATTTGTTATTAACTCAGGTACAGTTTTAGCTTTTAGATTTAGTGGGAACTTAGCATGAATTTTGTACGTTTTGCCATGTATGTATTCAATAATAATTTTAGTGTATTTTTAGTGAAAATAGCGAATTGTTAAACCTTTGTGCAACTATTGCGGGACCTAAATAAAATCAGTAGCACATTTTTTTTTTTTTTTTTGTTCTAGGTCATGTGCTTTTAGAAAGTGTATGGTTTCGGGGTTCTTTTTCAAACTCTGAAAGTTGTAAGTGAAAAATGATAACTTCCAGATTTTGAGTAAATTGTTTTTATTTACAGTTTTGCAGATATATTTGTTATTTATTAGCTCAATACAGTTTTAGCTTTATTATTTAGCAGGAATTTTGCAAGCTTTGCCTTGTATGTATTCACTAATAATGATTTTAGTGTATTTTTAGTGAAAATCGCAAATTGCTAAACATTTATGCAGATATCACAGGGCCTAAAAAAATCATTAGCTCCTTCTTTCTTTTGCTGGTCATATGCTTTCAGAAAATGTATGATTTGGGGGGTCTTTTACAAACTCAGAAAGCTGTAAGGTAAAAATAAACAATGAAAAAATCGCAAAAATGGTCCAGCCGCCTGAGTTTAAAAGTGGCCTGTCAGTGAAAGCGTTAACAGGTAAAACAATCCACCTACAGTTAGGTCCATATATATTTTGACAGGCACAATTTTCATACTCTTGGCTCTGTGTGCCAACAGAATAAATTAAAACGAAACAATCCAAATGAAAGTGTAGACTTTCAGCTTTAATTCAAAGGGTTGAACATAAATATTAAGCACAAATTTTAGGAACTGCAACCATTTTTATACACAGTCTCTCCATTTTCAGGGGCTCAAATGTAATTGGACAAATGGATATAATCATAAATAAAATGCAAATTTTTAATATTTTGTTGAGAATCCTTTACTGGCAATGACTGCCTGAAGTCTGGAACTCATGGACATTACTAAAGACTGGGTTTCCCTCCTTTCTGATGCTTTGCCAGGCTCTAACTGCAGCTGTCTTCAGTTGTTGTTTGTTTGTGGGTCTTTCTGCCTTTAGTTTTGCCTTCAGCAAGTGAAATGCATGCTCAGTTGGGTTGAGGTCAGGTGACTGACTCGGCCATTGCAGAATATTCCATTGCAGAATATTCCACCTCTGGGTGCTTTTGCAGTGTGTTTCGGATCATTGTCCATCTGTACTGAACGACGTATCGTATTCATCCGGCTGCTTCTGTCTTCTCTCACATAATCAATAAACACCAATGACCCAGTGCCACTGGAAGCCATGCATGCCCATGCCACCACACTGCCTCCACAATGTTTTACAGATGACGTGTGCTTTGGATCATGAGCTGTTCCAAGCCTTCTCTACACTTTTTTTTTCTTCCTGTCATTCTGGTATAGATTAATCTTAGTTTTTATCCGTCCAAAGAATGCTTTTCCAGAACTGGTTGGGCTTTTTAGATGTTTCTTGGCAAAGTCTAATCTGTCTTTTCTATTCTTCAGGCTTATGAATGGTTTGCACTTTGTGGTGAACCCTCTGTATTTGCTCTTGTGAAGTCTTCTCTTGATTGTAGACTTTAACAATGACACGCCCACCTCCTGGAGAGTGTCCTTCACTTGTCTGGATGTTGTGAATGGGTTTTTTCTTTACCAAAGAGAGTTTCCGCGATCATCCAACACTGTTGTCTTCCATGAACGTCCATGCCTTTTTATGTTGCTAAGCTCACTAGTACGTTGTTCTTTCCTCAGAATGTACCAAACTGTTGATTAGGCCACTCCCCATGTTTCTGCTATCTCTCTGATTGATTTGTTTCATTTTTGAAGCCTTACGATGGCCTGTTTCACTTGTATGGACAGCTCCTTTGAACGCATGATGTAGGTTCACAGCAATAGATTCCTAATGCAATTACCACACTTTGAATCAACTCCAGACCTTTTACTTGCTTAATTGATGAAGAAATAGCAAAGGAGTAGCCCACACCTGGCCATGAAACAGCTTTTAATTCAATTGTCCAATTTCTTTTTGGTCCCTTGAAAAAGGGGCGATGGCTACTCTTAAGAACTGTAATTTTTAAACCCTTCCTCCAATTTGGATGTACATACCCTCAAATTAAACCTGAGAGTGTGCACTTTCAGCCCATATCCATTATATAACTATAGCTTGAATATGGTTTTGTAAATACATGAAAAAAAACTAAAATTTGGCCTGTGTCCAAATATATATGGACCTAATTGTATATGCATTTCAATTGTAGATTTAGTTGTTTGCCTGGATTTCTGCTAGAAGGAAGATTGTAGAAGGATTCCTAGTAGAATATGCCATCACCTTAGAGACCCTTTTATTTGTGGGTGGTTTTGAAATCAGTCCAGACTGACTAGGTGATAAATTAAAATTTCGGTGCATTATCTCTTCTTATCACATTTAATTTTATGTATAGTCATTTTTTCCTTTTAGTAAAACAAGGGAAAGGTTCCAGAGATTCTTGGAAACAGAATTTTTTTTTTTTCTTGAACAGACTTGCTCATTTTGGCCTTGCAGAACGAGTAGCCACATACAACCTGGGTTATGGTACATGATCATTTTAGAGTGAAATATGTAAAATGTAAGTGTTAAAAAGATCAGTGCTGCGCTAGTCTGCCTTTAAATACTATACCCCTATTGTCCCATATGAAGACATATATGATACATGTATTTAGAGTTGTTTGTCATATGGGAGAATAGGGGTATAGTATTTAAAGACACACTAGCACAGCACTGATCAATTTCAGACATTGCTTTATGATTAGTATGAGGATCATTTAGAGTACATGGCTGCTGGTACACATTATTTTTAGTGTTTTATAATATATTATTTAGGATATCGGTGATTAAAAAATGCACATTGTTTGCATTTTATGTGGTGGATTACTGGGGATATACATTTATTAATTTTATTTATATTTTTATTTTATGAAAGGCTAAGATGTCAGTAAACCCCAATGGAAGGTTTTTTTTTCGGGGGGGATTGTCTCACCTTTTGGTGACAACTGTAAAAAATATTGATTTCCCATCGCATTCTGTTTTGGTGAAAACAAAACAGGTGAATCTTTCCAGTGTGGATAAATATCAAAATCATGAATGAGATTCTAACTACCCCCACACACACACACATTCCCCAACATTATCCAAAACGTTAAATGTTTTGTGCTGTAGGATATACTTTATTTGCAGATTAGCCAGCAGGGGGCACCTTCAGTGGCTCAGTCCATTTACTGTGTTTGCATCTTCCTATTGAAGTAACAAATCAGGCACACAGTTCTTGTATTGTTTGCAATCGGTCAGCTGACTATAGACTTGCATTTTGAGAAGGTGCAATAAACACAGCTATTGCGTAGTGCTGCAAAGCAGGAAGCAGACCCTGAGTATCCAGTAAGAAAAAAGGATTCCCTCATGTACCTATGTTATTACAAATGAAAATAACCTTTTTCAAAGGATGAATACATATTGATAACATGTACATCAAGCAGATCTCTGTTATATGTTTATCTGAAAATCTGAATGGAAAAAATGATACATTCATTTTCTCAAAGTATAATGAACACAAAGTAAACCTATAATCTGAAAGTAAAACCGGGACATCAAAATGGTGTCGGTCAGATTAGCATCTGAATAGACTAGTAGTCTTCAACAAAATTGTGGCTGTCTGCACACAGGCACCAACTCCCTATTACATAAATGTGAATGAAATGGGTAACAGATGGATTCTGCCCCTGTTCTCTACCTGTTGAGAATTTCTCTCAGTTGCTTTTCACCCTTTTTGGGGATTATTCATGGATGTTTTGATGATTAATCTCCGAAAGGGGTGAAACTCATCTAAGGCATTCTCTACAGATGGAAAACATGAGCTGAAGCCATCTTTTACCCATTTCATTCACCTTTATGCAACAGGGAGTCTGTGTACGTTTTCAGACAGCCACCATTTTGTTAGTCTACTAGAGCCTGGCAAGCCGATCCTGTGTGTCTTGCACCAGTCTATTCACATGTTGACCTGATACAAGTTTGGGGGGCATTCCATCACTACTGGTTTTGTTTTGGGCTACATAGGTGCCATAAGGTATCACAGCTTCCACTGCACAGTTAATCACCCTCAAAGTGCATATGCAATTTCTGAAGAACATGCCCCATGTCTCCTGTGCCGGTGCTTGGGCCCATCTGTACATTGCAATGTTAGATGTGAGCACATTAGGACTAATAAACTACCTTCTCATTAATGTCTTCACCTTCATTGTGTTTCCTGTAGATCATTGCCAGCTCCCAAGACTTACGGCTCAATGAAAGATGACAGCTGGAAGGAAGGCTGCTACTGACCCCTCTGAAATCCTAAAGCTTGACTGCTCAATGGACTCTGTCATCCACACTGTGACCACAGAGCAGCCCATCCTGATGGGACAATTTGGGATTTTGCTGTTTGATCCCAGGGTCCTCTGTCCGTATCTAGCACAAACGGGAGAGGTTACAAAAAGGAGCACTTTATTGACACTGACCATCAGATGTTTTCGTCATCAATCCCCCCTTCATGGTATTTCTCATAATTTATTTTTGTCGCCTGTAATCTTAACCCTTGGTAATCCAGAAACCCTGCATTATCATCTGGCTTCCTGGTAAACAACTAACTGCAAAATGAATAACTTTGGGTAGCAAACAATTTTTCTTTTTGATGAATATCTGGTTAATGCCAAAGAACAACTCCTCAAGCGTTTTCTACATATATCTGAAATATATATATATAATATCTTTAAAATTTATTATGCATATTAGCACTAATACTGCAAAGGTCTACAAGGGTATATCATTTGGTAGACTGTGTTTTCTTAAGACTGATTTTTTTACAGAGAGAAATTTTGTTGCCTTTTATTCTATGTAATAGCTGTTGAACCTTTCCCAGCTGTCACCTTCTCACTGAACTTCTGGCAGTGAACGAACTGTCACTTACTTTCCTAGAAGATACACAGGGGCTCATGCTTGAAACTTGCTGAGGAAGCATATGTCTAATAATTAGCACAATTTAACTGAGACAAGTAGACAAAGTTGTCTCTGACATCTTTACATTATTCCAAAAAAATCAAGGTGCTTATTTTTGCAATCCGTTATCCTGCAGTTTAATCATTTGCATAACAGCAACATTTAACTGCATGGGTAAAGTATTTACTATATGCTCAAAATGTTATACCTGCCTAGGGGTTTACAGTTCTTTTTAGCTGGACCGCTACCTTTGTCAACTGCCAACTGACTAGACAGTAAGTTTGTATTGCAATTATGTTGTCCATCTTTCCAATGAATGGTCTGGAGGTAGAAAGTTGACATGAGATGGGTCATACACTGTCTGGTAAGAATTGTGAAATCTCTGGCAAGTAATTCAGTCCATACAGTAAAACATTTTCAGTTTTATTTAGAAAGGTTGGAATATCTCTTCTAGGATTGTTTTATGTTTGAGACAATTTTGTACATTTGGTTTCAACATAAGACACTTATGTGCAAGTGAGTGACATGACATTAATCATGTGAAACCCAGTAAACAGACATTCATGAATTTTAATGTACAGTATACCTGGGATTACAGCATGCTGCTGATCTGCGTGAGAGGCAGTGAGTGGCTCTACAGTTTTACATAGCATTGTCTTGTATTCTGAGCATATATAAGATGGGGGTGTTCACTGTTGAAGAGTTATTACACTAGAATTTTAAAATGAGGAGAGTCCAGGCAGAGACCTATGCACTTATTTCACACTTAAGTGGACTTGTGTATATGGAGAATAAAATACACAGATCAATTTGTAAAAGGTTCAAAGAAATTTTTTGATATACACAGAGGTATTATGCAGTTTTTTCCATTGATAAACATTGTGGATATCCATACAGTATATGATTTTTAACCCACTGGACCTAGTTCACATGGGCTTCAGCTTGTATGAGAACAGTGTGTGCTGCAAAGTTTTTACCATACTTTCTTGACTCCTTTTAAGAGCTCTTTAGTTTCAGTTTTATGGTTGTTTCACAGATCTTAATGGAGTGCTGATTTTTAATTTAAAGATTGTTTGGCCCTACTTCTCCTTTGCATTACAGGAGTTCAGTTCGTTGTGCACTCCTGTGACCCCTTTTTAGCCTGCTGTTGACAGACGTCAGTCAGTCCAAGCTCTGAATCGAACCCGACTTTACAGTCGGGATTCGCCCAGATGTCTAGACCAGAAGCTGACTCAGCCTCTCAACAAGCGGCTGAGTGCCTAAACCAGCCACTTCCGTCCCCTCCACAGCCTGGTGCTCCAGTGAGAGCTGATGACTGACTGCTTGCTGAATACTGAGAACCAAGCGGTCAGTGGTCTTTGATCGCTCAGTTCTCAGTCCTAGAAACAGCAGGGGACAGATCAATGCTGCATCCACCTAGGGTGAGTGTAACTGTTTTGTTTTTTAAACCCCATACTTCTCCTTTAAGAAACCTGCTAGCAGGCTTTTACCAAGATTTACGTAGTATCAAAGCTTACTGAGGTCTGCTAAATTGTTCAAAGTGATAATCAGAACTTTCATCAAGCTCTGTATTTAACCACTTTATTTCTGCCAAATGTTCGTAAACCGCAGTGACATTCATTTGTGGGGCACCGTTTTAAAATAGCGATATGCTTACTACTTGTGTGCTGTCAAATGGCTCAGATCATTGGAAGAATGCACAGAGCCAATCAGGATGGACTGTGTGCCTTGTGATCACCAATTGCAGTGGTCACAAATGTAAACACTTCTACTGTTTACATTTGGGAGCCTTCCTCTTTCTCTCACAATGGAAGAAGGAGAATGTAATGAGTTAAGGGATCATAGACAACAGCAGAAGCAAGGTGGGGTTTTAATTCATTTGATTGTGGGTGGACCTCTATATTATCTCCTTCACTATCACCTCCCTCTGTGTATCACCTGTATAAATTAATGATGCACACTATCTAGTACACCATTAACAAGTTCCATATTTTAACCACCTAAATATCAGCATGTTTCTTCATTTGCAAAAAATTGTGTTAAAAGAAAAGGCATCAAACACAATTATATGAAATTCATTTGGATGCATTGTTGCACAACCGAGTAATTGTCAGTCAAACCATTAAAGCCCTGAAAACGGAAAACTGGCCTTGTAATGAAAGCACATATACAGGCTACTACAAGTGGGTAACATTCCAAAACTGGAGCTGCATTGTATATTAAAGGCTTCAACAAAGTTTGGCAACAGATCTACAACTGCTTTGAAAAATCTTCTGTACTCCCTGCTCTTATACAAGCTGAATCCCATGTGAGCAAGATCTTATACCTTTCACTTTCAGATACCATGTGGAGTGAATCCTTGTGCGCCAAGTATCCTGACAGCCGTTTGTGCTATAACTTTAAAATGACTTCCTGTGCTGATGAGGTTAAATTGACACGCTCCTGCATGTTCTCTGCAAACCGTTATCTTATGGGTTTTTTTTTTAGCATTTTACATTACATATGTATTTAAGATGTAAATAACATTTTTTCCTCTTGGGCGCCTTTCAGTATTGCAGTTAATGTACTTTGCCTTACATATCCTATATTTAACATGATATATGCCAGCATTTGTCATTATTGACCTGTTTACAGTCTATTGTGGAATGTTACCACATACCATACAATCATTGTACTGAGTCCCATTATATGCATTTGTGCACACTTGTTCTATTCACAGAGTGGACCTATCGCCATATACCTTTTTTTTTTATATAAGGCCTCTTCAAGTAAGTACATTTCTTCTGCTAAACATTTTATCCAATTTTGCTTTACATTTGCTTGCAGTATACATCAACTTAAATACGACTTCTGCTAAAAATAATAATTACATTTTTGGTTGGAAAGTAATGAGGCAGACATTGTGTGACATGTTCTTACTTTGGCAGCACCCTCATTTAGACTAATTCACAATTAGTTTAGTGATGTTGGAATGCAATTGGAAAGTAATGAAAGTGACAGCTTGAAACGGCACAGTAAAGAGATTTGCTGCAAAAACGTCATGACAATAGATCTCTTCATAGGAGAATGTGTGACCCTTGTATATGAAAGTGGCAGTCACCTGACTGTGACTTTCCAATACCTGGAGTCTAGTCCAGTATCTAACATGATGATTCTACATGATATTACATATACTTCTATACAACACTTCTGCAGCCTCCCTATAGTGGAAAGTGCATAATATGTACGTGTGTGTGTATGTATATGTGTGTGTGTATATGTATGTATATATATATATATATATATATATATATATATATATATATGTATATATGTATGTGTGTGTGTATAAAAGTGTTGAAGCTGAGCATATGCTGAGAAAAAGTATAAGCCAAGACAATCTTCAGTGCAATCTGTATTTTCAAATATATAAGTAGTTGGAGTTATTTGCAAATTTTCCTGAAAGAGTTTGGTGTGGCACCATCTTCTTATAGGTCATTGATCATATTAAAGGAGCAGTTGGGTTAGCAGGAGGGTCCAGGGCCAAATTCTTGCCACTGAATGGAACATCTGCTAATGCATTTTTTTTCTTTTTATTGCAATGAATGTTCAGTCTCTATTGCCAAATTTGTGACCATGTTCTATGATGATGTAGACCACATGTGTCAAACACAAGGCCCGTGGGCTGAATCCAGCCTGCTAGGCTGTTTAATGTGGCCCTTGCACCTCCTCTTGGGAGTGGAGATGAGGCACCCCCCTCATCTCTACTCCCACCTTGTCTCAGCAGTCGGCAGCAGAGAGAACAGACCTCCATTAGATCCTGCGCCTCTCTGTGCATCGGCAGCACCTGCTTATCTCTGCCTCCCCTGGTCTCAGAATTCAGCAGACTCCAGCAGCTGACTCTAGCCCTCCTCTGGTCCTGCACAATCTGCTTCCCAGCTTCTTGCCACCAGCAGCACCAGGCATGGGGGTGCATTGTGATGTAAGGTAGGGTGGGGGACTATTGACATCTGAAATAAGTGGGGGTGCGGTGCTCTTGACACCTATTATATTCCATACAACTAGCCCTTTAAGAGCAACCATGATACTGATGTGGCCTACGATGAAATTGGGTTTGACATCCCTGTTGTAGACAATCAAAAAATGTACAATATTGACATACATAGGGGGATGCCTATATGCCTGTGATTTTGTCTTCTGTGCCAGCAAAATAGAAAATGCTATGGAGACATGAGCCCTTGCGTCTTTCCACAAGTCTGCTTTCTGCACCACCCAACCAATGTAGTTATTATAACTTTGATCAGAAGCATTTGAATCAGATACATTGATCGTTGCTTTGCAGACATGACTTCCATTTTTTTTTCTT